AACCAGCAGCCACGAAAACGTATGTCCATAAAAAGGAAGCCTAATTGATGTTATTAACTTAGTAAATAGAAAAACTGGAATGTTTGAAAAACAGTCAGTTGACCTTCTTTAATTTATATTCAAAAATGGTTCAAATTTGGTTTCCCATGGTCAAATTTGGTTCATTTCAAAATGGTTTCCTATGGCCCTTTCAAAAAAGCATTTAGCTTGAAAGTGTTTGAGCTTAAACATTAAGCATATATTTCTGAATATCTTTCTATTCTCGTTAAATTGGATTCTGATAATGATATTCGCGATGAATTGGAGGCAGCTCAATTCTCAAGCTCCGTGAGCACAAAAATAGCAGACGAAAAGGTGAACCTAATTCAAAAGGAGTTTGAGGACTTGAAAAAACTCACAAGTGATTAACAGATTCGGATGTAACTTTTGGAAAAAAGTCAAAATGTTATGGAAGAGAGACCAAGGAGCGCAAGAACGATACTCACGCAAGTACAGTATCATTTTTGCTTAGCCAACCATTTATGCCAAAAGAGTAAAAGCTGCAACGCAGATGGGTCACGAGACAGTCACGAACAAATGTGTGGTTTCAGTTGCGGTGAGAAAGGGATAAAATAGCAAAAAATAAACAGTGTCGATGATCTGAAAAAGCTTGAGAATAATGCAATTGAAACAATATTTTCAAATTGCGAGAAAGGATGCAACTGCCCAAAAAGTGTCTTCCCAATAAAAGACATAGCGCTGCCCAAATTTAAGCAATGAAATCTACACTTCTCTACACTAATCTGCTTCTCTACACCAGAAGTCTGCTTCTCTACACTAATGAGGTACTGAAATTTTAAACTTTGAGTTAATTATGACTAGCGTTAACTGTTTGTTTCAGGAATTGAGCATATTTTTTGTTTTTCTCTTTTTTGAGCAATCTATATTAATTTTCTCTTTTATCAAGCTGACTTAACCATGTTCTTCAGTATTTTTTTCTAAACTTGATTCCTAGTTGACAGTGAACTTAACCTATATCATATTTCAAACCAGTGCTCTTTGAACGTATTGAAACGTCCTTTGTCGGCTTTGCTAGTAATTACGCAAGCAGCCCTGACCAGCGTGTGATTTTGCAACCAATAAGTCAGTGCAGGGGTTCCACAAAACAATTTTTTTTGCAAGACTTTTCAATTATAAAAAACATTTAACAGCCCTGTGATTATAAAAAACTCTTTCACAAAAAAAAAAAAAAACGAAAAATCATAAGTCATAGAGAGCGTAAAACTGGCATTTAATTTAATTTTTTTTATCTCAAAACTGTTTTAACCTCAAAAACACTTGACACGTTGAGAGAAGAAAAAAATCGCCCAACGGAAAAAGAGTTTAATAAGTGAACAAGTTTAATAATTTAGTTTAATGAGTATCTTTCTGATAAAAGATAAACATCGCTGCGGCAAAAAAAAAAATTACCTCTAGGTGAAGAACGATTAGCCCTCACTCAAATCTTTTTATTTAAACCCAATGAACACAAAACCAAGAGAAAAAGTGTTTAAAAACTTGAAACAGCCTTGACCAAACCGACTTTAACTATTTTGTTTTGAAAAAACATTAGCCTGTACTTTTGGAGTTGTTGACAGCGCTTTTTCAAAAATGAATTTCTTATAAGTTTTCTCCGGAATTCCTAAAAACTGCTAAACTAATTCCTATACACAAACACGCTAACAAAAATGATGCAGCTAATTTTAGACCAATTTCTTTATTACCTGTTTTCGGTAAACTTTTCGAACAGCTGATTTTCAATAGGTTGAACGTTTTTGTTGGACAAAAGTAACGTGTTGAATCAAAATCAATTTGAATTTGGATAAAAACGTGGCACTAAAGATACTGTTGCATCGCTGGTTGAGGAGGAAATTAGATTTCACTCGAATGATCAAACCATCTTGACCAAATGCAGATTAAAAGACAAGAAAAAATTTTTGACACAGTCAACTATAGTATTCTGCTGATAAATGCTAGTCTTATGGACTTAAGGGGCCTATTTTTAGATAATTAAAATTTTATTTAGCAAACAGTAAGCAATCATTTAGCATAAAGTTTGGTGTCCCACACGGATCATTATTGGGCCCACTTCTATTCATCCTATATATAAATGATATAGAAGAAAGCAACAGCCCTCCACAAGTTGGCAACATTGTACTATATGCGGATGATACAGTCAAAAAAACAACCTCTTCATTAAATAGTCTAAGAGCAGATCACCAAGAAGTTTTACACGAAACTAATGTTTGGTTAGCAAACAATTAAACACCACTTAGGGCAGAAAAACGCAAAATTTTGCTTTCCGGCAAAAATCAGCTGGTAAACATTCTACAGATACAATTAACGGCGATAAAATGGAAAAACGTCGAGTTACTTTGATGCAAATTTAACGTTCGAAAACCACAGGACTTCATTCGGAAAAAACACGCCAGTACTGTGCGTTTTCTACAGACTGAGAAAAATATTGCCGAAAAAGCAGCCTCTTCTGGCCTATAAAAAGTTTGTTGAACCAATTTTTACAATATGGAGTCCTCGCTGACGCATCAACTGTTAGAACGAAATTGTTACGCCTAGAAATGCTGCCGAACAACTTATAAAAACCAGAAAATACAAAAAAGTCGAATCAATTAAACACAACACAAATTTTTTTTATTGCAAGACTTGCATACTTTTGAATTGCTAAATTTTGCAACTTTATACGGAGTGAATGCCAATCTGAAAAATTACAAAAGTAATTACAAATGAAAAGCAACAAAAATTTCAACTGAAAGAACAATAGCGAGAGCTGTCGCAATACACTCAAAGTTTGCATCGAAGCACTTGATGCTGCCACAACACGAGAACTTATCAACACTTTGCTCTTTTTGTTTCCTAGTTTAACAGAAATGATAAAAAAAAGTTTTAATATCCAGGAACTAAACAATCCACCATTAATTTTTAGATATTTGACAGATTACTACTAGCTTGAGCATATATGATAAGCCGTTTTGTAGTTAAATTATTGTAAATCTGTATTTGTCTCAACTATTTTTGACAGCATTTTTTTTCTCGATATTTTTTCTTTTTTTTTCTGGTAAACCCGCAATTTCTATGAAACGGTAAAACTTTTACGCTTTTATTTTTTTGTGATTAAGTTGGGCTCTCATCCCGCATTTCTTTTCCTCTCACTTCAAGGCCACCAAAAACAACAATTTTGATTCTCGCTCTGAGATGCCCTGAAAACAGGCTTAATTCAGTGTTACGGCGATCACTCAAAAGATGTTTTTGTAAAAAAATTCTTCATTTGTTAAGCTGTACGTGTAATGAAACAATTTATCATTAATATTAAAATCGTGATTTGGATTTTTTCAAACAAGCCACTAACTGAGAGAACTTTTATCTGCGAGTTAAGCTGGAAAAAAGAAGGTTCGTACTAATACACAAACGCTGGCTAGTGTAAACAAAAGAAATGATGAACTGACCTAATAAGAAAATCAGACGTCAACACAGGCGAAATAGCACTTCGCATATTCAAGCAAAAAAAATGACGCTACTTGGAAAAACTGAATGAGTAAATTTTTGAGTCTACAAATTTTCTTCTACAATTGTGACGCATTAGAAAAAACCAGTCAATTTGAAAAACGAAATTTAACAACTAACAAGCTTCAATTTATAGAGTAGACTACGGACCACGAAAAAATTAAATGTAAAGAAAATTAAATGCACCCCCACACGCCACATAAAGTAAAAAGTGGTAAACTTTGCTCCTAGTAACAAATCAGTAATGGCACATAAGCTTCCTTTAACCATTTTGGAATGCTTATTTTGACGGATTAAATATCCGCTTACGCGTTCATAGCGCGAAATATATCGCGCGTTAATTGTCCCAAATGGCAATCTTTAAACACTCATAACTTTACGAAAATGTTCACAGGTAAAATATCTATCCACATTTGAGCTTAGGACAACAATACTTTATGAATGATATAAACATAGCCAATGAAGGATTGGAAAAGACTATGAACGCAAGTATACATATAAAAAAAACACTGACTTTCTTGAAAAAAAATCGAGAAAAAACATACCCTTTAAGCTCTTTGACTTTCTAAAGCAATTTATGATTGGCGCTTTTCTGATAGCACGAACCCAACTTGAAAAAACTGGATCAATAGATAAAAAATCTATTCCGCTGGGTAATCTTAAAAATAAAGTCCACTTTCGAAGCTAGTGGACATGTTCACGTTTCTTCGCGCCATTTCCACGTTCGAATTTGGAGAGTTCTTTTTACGTCATTTTCAGCAGAGCAGATGATATTGAACTCAAAACAATTTAACTCAAAAACTGCATTATGCCCTAGTGCATCAATATTTTAAGGCTTTTTCCTGAAAAAAAAACAAACAAAAAATCAGCAAGACCTATATAAGTCGTCACTACGTTCATTACTCTGAAAAAAATCCTGTCAAAAATGGCTAGTAAAAAGCGAAATTTTTCTGATAAAAACACCCCGATCACAAATATTCCGTTACTTTCGTTACGAAAGTCGGAGCAATAATAGTCTGTGTTAATATCCTTAGCATTGGCTGTACTTAATAGCTGGTTATTGATCAAAATGAACACTTTCAAAATGAACACTTTTATCCCAACAATACTTGCACCGCAACAATATTTTCGACATAGATTGGAAAAAAAGATAGTTTGTACACTAACACAAGCTTTGCTTCTGTTAACAGCTAGTAATCATATTATCGCCTGAACAAACTCGAACTTCTTTGAGAAAAAAAAACGAAAAAATTATCACGATATTTTAAGAGTCTTCACTACGTCATCGACTCTATAAAATAAGACAATAAAAAGCCCACCGTCGCTTGACAATTTGCTAACAATGTCTATTAATAAAGCAGCTACATATGCTAATAAATAGCAAAATATAGCGCCACCAAATACAAATTAAAATATTATGCGCAAAACTAAAACTCCGTGTAGATTAGGAGTCACTTGCGTGAAAACTTGATTGAGAAAGCAGCATAAATCTCTTGCAAAATTCAAAAAAATTGAGCATTAAGCAATAAATATTTTAACTAAAATTTTAATTTAAACTAGTATATGAACAAAGATTTATTCAATATTAGTTTATAATTATTTCAAGACAGTACAAGTTCTTCTGACATCTATTGATTTGTTCGATTTCTTTGATAATTGCATCTCGTAAATTGACTCTTCAAGAGCATTGACCATGGACAATACCATTTAACCTCATTTGGAAGACAAACATGCTGCATCTATTTCTAGCTTAGTTTTTTTCCGAAGACAAGTTTTTAACGGAAAATACCAAAGAAGTGGTCTCATTGTTCAAGGAGAACATCCCAGTTGATGTTTCTGAGAAATACTTCTTTTTCCAGCCACTGTTCGTAATTATCAGTGAATACTCTTGGCAACTGCACATCCTGGTTCAAAAGAGAGTGTAAATTGTTGTCCACTGGTTCGTAGGTGGATTCGATACTGCCTGTGGTTCCATTGTTGGCTGTGTTGCTGGAGTGGCTCTCGTATCTCCTCGTGTTGAACTTCTCAACTCTGCTTCTAAGTAGACCCTCTTCTAATTGGAAGTCCCAAGGACGCGAGTCGGGTTCTAAAAAGACAACATTTAATTACAAAGAGGCGAAACTGCACTTTGCAAACACGAGCGAGAAACCGGCAAACAGTACCTTTTAAGGGGCCAAAAAGGGCAAAAAAAAAGAAAACTGATAATTGGGACAGAGATGAGACAGTGTGGCTTATTGGCTCTTTTCCAACCCCCATCACATTTCAAATTTTCCTTTTTCTGAGTTGTCCTATATGATATTATGGCTGAATGCGTGCTGTTACGTTGTAGGGTATGAAGAACAAATGTGTTCACAATAATTAATTTTTTCACCATGCAAAATTTCATTACATTATAACAAAGTTAAAATAGTTTTTCAAAACTGAAAATTAAATCAAGCGGAAAGTAGAACAGCCCGCATATTGAACAGAGAGGCGAAGCTGCGCTTTACAAACATAGCGAACGCGCGACAGAAAATAGCTATTAAGTGAACTACGAAAAAAATTGCAATAAGCCTCGAATTAGTAAAAGTTCGGGTACGTGTCGGAAATGTAGACCCAACACGTTTCCAAGTGAGGTTAACTTCGTCTGAATCAACATAGCAAATCAAGTACCGTTGCCGAATGCCCAGTCGTCGTGTAGTCTGTGGCGCACCTTCTGGTAGATGACACTCATCGTCTTCATGTTACTCTTCCGCCACTGTCGGCCGAGGAACTTGGTCTGCACTTTGATCAGCTTCAACACGTACAGTTGCAGCATCGCTTGACGCACCTACACACACCCAATAAATCAGAGTTGATGTCACAGCCCACAAAACAAAAATACCTGATATTATTAGCCCTTACATAAAACAGTAACATACGTATGCTAATATAGCCAACTTCAGCATGCATTATGAACTACTTTTTTGCAGAAAAAAAACCGATTCCTACTTGCGCTACCAAATTGTAAATGGTGTCGTCAAAAATTGGTTCAAGACATACCTTGAGTGCTCGTTTGAGAATGGGACCTGACTTGAACACTACCAGCATCATGATTCTTGAGTTCTTCCACTTGACCAGTTTGTTCAGGATGCGCAACAGATTAATACATGAGAACAGATTCCGCCAGCAGTAGTATGTGGGACCCTGGATCAATTTACAGCATAACGTTCACAGCCAAACTTACGTATATACTTAATCGAAGTCTAAATCCATTTTAAACAAGGATAGCGGTTACTGCGCAAGTAGAAGAGAATGCTCCGACCATAGTCTTAAAAAATACAAAAAAGTTTTTTTTTTCAAATTAAGTTTTTTTTCCTGCGTGATATGATAAACCACAGAGACGAAGCTGTGCTTCGCACACACTAGCAAGAAAACGGCAAAAAAGCAGCTCAATAAAAAGAAATAAAAACACTAGAAATAAGCCTCGAATTAGTAAAATTCGGCTACGCGTCGGATTCGATCCTCTGACCTAGAGATTATAAGTCTCACGCACTAACCACTCTGCCAAAGTCCCTGAACAATTCACAAACATAAATACAGCAGAGAACAGATGCTATTAAATTTCTAATGCTAAAATTCATGATTATAGCAACAGTGTGAACAAATAATCGATTTTAAAGGTTCGTTCTTATACACAACGCTCGCAAGGCTGCTAGTGTAAAGATCTCAACGAAAAAATGTTTGAATTTTATTTTCAACATGGCGCTAAAAAACTCCAACAACTAACTTTACTCAATTAAAATTAAGTTTTCACGGCTTAAATAAGCATAAATAAGCTATTGTAAGCCTGCATGCTCACCTTATTAGCTCGAAATGAGACCAAAAATCAAAAATTATAAAACCGACTTTTCTCAACACTGGGATTTTTTTTAAATTACTGAAATTGCTTTAATATGATATACCACTCGACCCATTCCGATGATTATTTATGGTACCAGATTTTGTGTGGAAAACAATAAGAAAAAGTTTTTAAAAAACTAAAACACCCGAATACAAAATTCCTCCCCATTTTTCAAATGGTCGGAACAAAGACTTATTATTAAGCACCGTCTCACGCGGACTGTTTTGGATGCCTTGAGCTTTTTGAAATGACTGATAACGTAGGTTGGTGAGTCAGCACAAAAATTTTCCTGGTTCACTTAGTTAATTCAGGGCAAAAACTCTTCGCATGAGCCATATTGTATTGCTTTCATGAGACCTGTCCAATTAATTGTTATGTTAAAGTGTCGGCGAGAAAAAGGTAGACTTTGCCTTTTCTTGGGGGCCTTATTTAAACACTTTCATACAGAAACACAAACAGACACGGAAGCAAATAGACAGTGAGAGTGCTTGCCTTCTCGGGTGGCTTGACGTTCTCCTCGTTAATCTCCTCCCTCTCCCCCACCACACAAGTGGGGAACTGGAGGGGGGCTATAGAGTGGGTGGCCTGGACGTAGTTGCCGATGCTCTGGTTGAAGAACTTCAGCACTAGGGGGATGCAGTTGGCAAAGACCATGTGTTGTGCACAGTGCTCAAACTAAAAAAAAACTTCAAACTTCGAATTGCTTATCGAACCCTTTTTGTACTTAATATTTGACTGCAATGTTAAGTTTTTTCGGATCTCTCTAACTATTCCCCAATTTTGCCGTTAAATTAGTTCTTTATAAGGGTAGAAATTCGTTACTAGGTACCATCGCGGATAGTTGAAGAGACCCGTATTTTCTAATCAAACTAATCAAAGTGATCAAAAACAATTCATCTCATTGAATATTAATAAACTCTGATTTCGTATATTTGACGTTGCAGGAAAATTCAGAACAGAGGCCCTGAGTGTTTTGTCGAAGTCGACAAAAACCTGTTTAGACCCCCAATAAATTTCATCAAAGAAAAGGAAGGCAACTCGTAGTAAAATATATACTTTGACCTCACCTGACAGACGTGGTTTAGTTTGAAGTGTTTGAGGAGAAGGAGGAGTAGAGCGGATACTGCCTTGACTATGATCTCCTTGTGTCTGCTCACATCTATGGTGAACTTCATAGCCTCAACCACTCCCGACCTAAACAAGCTGGATGCTTCAAATCGAAATTCTGAATACACAATTTCATTTCCAATGATCACATAGCAACTTTACTCTGAAACCTTTTTCTCTCAGGTGCTATACTCCAAAAAGTAACCTCTGATTAAGCTTCGAAACAGTCCCATAAAATCTCAGCTGAGGCTAAATTTGATTTTACTCGCATTAAGTGTTTCTGGAATAATCCGTAGGGCAGATTATTCAAACCTTAGCAAAACTTCGTAGGGCACAATGTTTCACACTCTCTAACCCGTTACGGTGGCATAAAATCCTATCCAAATTTTAGAGAATCAACAGCAATAACAATGACAAGAGGACTCACGGCATCTGTGGAGGAAGTAGATCTGAGAGGAGGTTGACTGTGTCACTCTTGCCCTGGGGAGAAGTGGGCGTGGCAGCCAGCAGGATCTTCAGCAGGGCTATCTGCACACGAAAACAGTATAAAATCTGAGTCAAATAGAAACAAAGTAAAATACGATTACGAAAGTCTTGCATACAAATTTCATGAACTACAAACCAGCAAACATTTTTAAAAAAATCTCTGATGCTTTGAACACCGCGTTAATGAAGAAGGTCAAATGCATTTTTAGAAACCTATTTGTAATCGACAAAGCGTGAGCCGCCTACCATGTACTGAGGTAGGTTTGGATGTATGGCTTTATAGAGCAACTCAGTCGGCGTCTCCTCCACCTCCTCCTCCCTGCCCAGAGAGATGGGGTGCTTCAACAACAGATCCTCCTGCTTCAACTGCACTTCACTCAGAGGCACGTACAAGTGTTGTCTCAGAATTGAGATGCTCTCTTTGATCGGCTGAGGAAGTCCGGCTAGAGTGGTCAGGTCAGGTTCCGGGTCCGATTTGAGTTTGTAGCCGACGTATTTTATACGGGAGTGGTCCAGGAAATCTTGGATGTCTTTTGTTCTAGAACATTTAAATGCTTCAAAAGCTTCAAATAGTGCAATGGCCTATGCCAGAATAATTGAATCAGCTCGCTACAAACAATTATTCATAGAAAACTTTCGTCAACTTAATTTTGTTTCTAAGGCATTCGGGTGCGTCAGATTTAACCAACCAGTAGCATAATAGCGAAGCAACATTTTTCGCAAGGTTATACGAATCAACTCAGGTTCTCCCACCTAATTTTGGGCTGCCATGGCAGTGCTCTCGGTTCCCTAGCCCTCTCGGGAGTGGGTTCTAAAGAGATCAGCACTTCCTCATCATCTGGACTATCGCCAGCCCCTCCCCCATCATCAACCCCAAGGGAGTCATCTAACTCCTCCCCCTCTCCATCTCCCTCCCTCTCATTAATCTCGTCCAAACTCATACTGTCACGTGGACCACTCACATCTAAACACAGACAAAAGATAGTTGGAAAAAATTACATGATCTATAAAACTGAAATTGACTTTTAAAAACATGGCTTTAAGTTCTGTCGACGACCACAAAGTATTCAGTCTGAAACAATGAACAGTCTGAACCAATGAACAACGTCTTTTGACCTTTTACCAATATTCAGAGTTTCAGCTCAGTTAATTCTTGTAATTGAGAAATCAAATGATAATTAAATACCTCCTGACGCATTAGCTCTCGCCTCCGATCTCTTTCCCACACTATTCGACACAGCATTCGCTCTCTTTTTCCCGGCCGGAGTCGGAGATCCTGAGTTACTACCTCCTCCAATCAGAGAGGCTCCTGGATTCTGTTGTTGGTCTAGCATCTCAGAAGCGATGAGGGGTGGAGTTGATGCTCGCATTTGGCGAATCACTTTGATTGAGTCTTCCGGCAGTGGTTCGAGTCCCAGTGCGCTTCTCGTTTTGTTCTTTAGCTCCTGTGCATGTTCCAATCCACCAAGTGAAGTCTGAAACACATTACTTAATCATCAGCATAAACGAGTAATGAACGCAAGAAAACACAAAAAAAAAACAACTTTCTTTTTGAAAAAACGTCAACTTTCGAATTTCAGAGAAAAAATATATACCCTTAAAACTCTTTTAATTTCACGCACGAACAATTTATTGGTGCTATTTTGATCAAAAAAACCCAAGTTGAAAAAAACAGATTAATAGGTTAGATTAATATTTCACTGGGAAACCTGATAATTAAATTCCATTTTCGAACTTAGAAGTCGATCACGTTTTTCGTGAACTTCACTATTTTACTAGTTCGATAGTAGAGTTTGCCTTCCTTTTAACAAAGAAAATGAGGTGAACTTAAAAACAGATCTAAAGTCAAACTGCGAAAAATTAAATTTTAGCGTGAACAAATTTTGAGACCAGTCATCATCAAGACCAATAACATATACAACAGACAGTTGGAAAAGAGTGAAAGAACGCAAAGAAACAGAAAATGACTTGTTTTTTGAAAAACTTCAAATTTAGAGTTTCAAACAAAAAATTTTATGTCCTTAAACCTCTTTGCATTTTTAGGAGCAACTTATAATTTTTTTGATAAAATTAACCCAATTTAACCAAACGCTGAAAATCTTAAAATTAAATTCCACGTTTTTTCGCGCCATTTCCACGTTCGTATTTTGAGAGTGCTATTTACGTAACTTTCATTACATGAGTTTCAATTGAACTCAAAAATGCATATATTTCTAAAGCATTCATAAATGCATAAATATATATGAATGCGCAACTTTTGACATTAGAGCATTACAAGACTTTTCCTGAAAAAAAATCATCGCGGCCTCATAAGAGTCTGAACGTAGTTCATCGACTCTTAGTAAGATAACTCAGTAAGATCATTACTCTTAATAAAGACACATCTGAGCTTCAGTTTCGTACCCATGGGATGTAAAAACATTTTCAAGCCACTAAGATGAGCTAAACCAATACAATTTCACATCTAGCAGTAATATGTTCCTACCGTTTTCTGTCACTGCCTCACAAATTGACCGTTTAAAAAAATTACATCGATATTATATGCAACTTAGGTACAAGTGTGATAGAGGGGTCTCGAGAAACTTACATGATCCCTAATACAACAAGAGTACATCAAGATTGTTCAAATGAGGCAGGTTAATTACCTTTGAGAACAAACCTAAAAAAACGATCGAATCGCGTCCATTTGATTTACCTAATTGACATATTTGCTTAGTATTAGCGTGATATGGGACCCTTCATCAACACAGAGGCGAAGCTTCGCTGTGCAAACACTAGTGAGAAAACGACAAAAAGCAGCTCTATAAAGTGCAATAAGAAAAATTGGAAATAAGCCTAGAATTAGTAAACATTCGGCTATGTCTGAGATTCGAACCTGAGATCTAGAGATTAAGGGTCTCACACACTAACCACTCAGCCACTACACTAATCACAAACACTAGCCACAAACAAAGAAGAGAACATATTCTATGCAATTTCCAATTCTACAGTGAAATTTCCAAATAAGTGAACACTTTTAATGATCACTTTTATTTGCGAGTCAGGCTAGAAAAAAGGGAGGTTCTTAATACTACACTCAGCTGATTGCTAGTGTAATCATGCATTATGCTCGGCTAGAAACACTTGCCAGGATAAACTTCCACAACAACAGAAGTGTCTTCTTTGTAGGTATAGGCGAAGTCTTATCACTGGCTACATTCAACACTAGCTGGAACAGAATCACAGCCGGCAGTTCCCCGTCCACTATCGGCTGACCCAGTTCCTCTGCAAACTGAGCTCTCATTTCAGTCTGTTCATGAGTGTCATCTAGATCTGAGGTGCGCAGAACTTCCGTTATCGTGTACAGTACAGACAAAATGGTTCTAAATAACAACATTGCATGTAATGAAAAACAAAAAGTGTTCAAGCTAATAAGAAAACTGTATTAAGCAATCTTTGACCGTACCAAACCAAGCGTTAAATTGCAACCGCACGACTAGTGTATAATTTATGAAATGTTTATGCTAGTCGATACACAGCCCAATGAAAGTCATTTCGTGGGTTCCTCAAAATCGGTTTTGTTTTATTAGCCCCCGGTCAGCTCAGTGCAGGACCAACCGTAGGGGAGGAAGAAGTCATCCATTTCGCCACAGCCGGTCCAACCTTGAGGAGGCGGATGACACTGGGACCCCTCCAACCTTGACCGAAGCTCGGTTGTTTTACAGGTAGACATTTGACCCAATGATTTAAACACAGAGGCGAAACTTCTCTTCGCAAAAACTAGCGAGAACACGACAAAACGCAGCTCTAAAAAGTGCAATAAGAAAAAATAGAAATACGCCTCGAATTAGCAAAAACTTGGCTAGGTTTAGGATTCATTCTGCGACCTACTTCAGTCAAGAGATTTTGAGTCTCACGCACTAACCACTCCAGCCACGCACGCTTCACCACCACCGACAAACACTAGTAAGTAATAAAGCAGCTACATATGCTCATAAAGTGCCAATGCTATCGAGCAGAAGTGGCACCAAATACAAATAGACACATCTTTGCAAGTATTAATTTGGAATATAACAAACTGAAGGCATGCACACTAACTTTTCATGAAACAAATCGCAAAGCATAAAGCCACATTATGTATAAATTATTCATTTCAAAAAATTGGGAGATATATTGAGTAAGAAAATTTCTGAAATCGAATTTATAGTACTGTTGTTTGAAACAAAAAGCTTTTTCTTTCGGTTCATTTGACAAATTAAAAATCCATCAACTGAGTAAATTTACAACTGCTCGATAGTCAAAGCACATGCTATCAAAAAGCTGTAAGGGTGCCCCAAAATTGGCACCAATATTTGCGACTAGAAATATTTGGCACCAAAAATGGCACCAATATTTGCGACTTCGATTAGAAAAAAAAGAAGGTTCTTAATAATACATAAACCTGGCGCTTAAGTAAATACGGTGCTGATCTAAATTATCCCGACAAAACTACTAAAGTTGGACACTCCAATCGCGTTTTTTTTCTATTTGGGTTCACATAAGACAAAGTTGTAAAAGTAAACAGGAAAGTTGATTGGATGTTTTTTTCAACTTAATTTTTTCAACTATATAAAACACCAGTTTTTCTTTTCAAAACGTTTGGAGATCAAGCCACACTTACAATTGATGGGCTACGAAAGAAGATCGTTTTAATATAGATTCCTTAGCAATTGCCCCGATAGTCTAACGTAAGTTTAGATTTATTGCAAGGAGTCAAAGATGCCTATTTGCGGGTTTAAATTTGGGGCTGAATTTCGAAAGAAATTGCACCATATTTATTCTGGAAACACTCTAAGCAAATTTTGGCCTCCAATTTTTGTTAACCCAATTTGAGAACGCATTTAAATTTTCCACTTTCGTTCTTATCGTTAGTCCAGATAATTTATATGAGGACTGTGAACGGATAGCCGTTCGAGGGCATGAGTGAAATTCTAATAGTCAAGAACAAAGCTGTGATTAGCCGATCTTACAAAAAAAACGTTCCGACCATTTGAAAATGGGTAGCATTTTTGTGTTCGGGTGTTTTACATTTTTTTATTTTCCACACAAAAACAGCCAAAACACAGTTGGAAAAGAGTCGATGAACGCAAGAAAACAGAAATAAAACCGAATTTCAACTTCAAATTTCGAGTTTCAAAGAAAACAACAGAAAACCCTTTGAAATTCAAGGACACTTTTAATTGACACTTTTTTTGCTAACATCAATTAATTTTTACAAACTGGATCAATAGGTAAGTTTTCAATTTCGCTGAGAAATCTGAAAAATAAATTCCACTTTCGAAACTAGAATTCGATCACGTTTTTCGTGACCTTTGCACTTTCGCAGTTCAAATTTAGAGTTTGCCTTCCTTTTAAAAAAGGAAATCAACTGAACTTGAGCAATATCATAAGTCAAACCGCGAACAAGTAAATTTGCGCCTGAATAAATTTTCAGACTCCTGAAAAAAATCATCGCGACCTATATAATAGTCTAACCTACGTTCATCGACCATTATTCCAGTACTATAAAAAAAATCATCAGACTGGTTTGAGTGATATATCATACTAAAGCCCTTTCAGTCTTGATTCGATCGACATTTGAAAATTTCCAAATAATGTTCCCAGAGTCGCGAAAAACCGATTTGAAATTTTTGATACTATTCTAATTTCAAGCTAATAAGGTGAGCGTCCAGACATACAATAGCTTGTTTATACTTAATGTAAGCCGTGAAAACTTAAATTTACTAGAGAGTTTTTAGCGCCATAGTAAAAAAAAATTTTAAAAAAATTTTCCAATCGGCCTATTTTACTATGACTCTCGAATAAACCTAAGCTCTATTTTTATTCAGATCTTTACACTAGCAAGCTTGAGAGCGTAGTGTATAAGTACGAACCTTCTTTTTTCCAACCTATCTCGCGGATTTGAAAGATTTTTTTTTTTAGTTTTTCTAGTCATTTTTCTACAAAAACTATTTTCCAATCCGCCTATTTTACTATGACCGTCGAATATGCCTAAATTCTATGTTTTTGTACAGTCATTTTAATCGCACTTCGCAAAAAAACGACACTAATTTGAAAAAACTTTTTTTCGTATTTATAAGACTACGGTTGAAACATTATGTGCCACTTGCACAGTAACCGGCTATCCTCGTTTTTAACGTTTTTATTTAAAAAAACAAGAATTTCAAAATATACTGAACTTCGTAATTCGGCAAGACCGCTACATTTTCACAAACAAACGTAATTTGGTTGAAATTTACGTTTACAATGATTGAAGTTGAAAATATCAATAAAAAAATTCTACAAAATTTTGGTGTTCAGTAAAAGGTGGAGTTGAAGCAGGCAAAAAACTGCCAGGATGGGAAGTGATTGCTAAATTAACGTGAAAAGCGCAACATAACTTAAAATACATTTAATTTCTTGACGTTTGTAACTCGCCTGAAAACGGAAATATTTAGACAGACAATTTTTTTCGACAGGAAATTTTTGATTTTATCACAGCTAACAAGGCTTCAATGTGATATAATAAAATAATATATATATTTTTTACTTTTTCAGTGCATGTTTTTTTTTTCTCAGAAGCTCTGCCCGAAGCTCAACTCCATTTAGTCAACTTGATTATTTCTGAGAACACGCTCAAGATTCAGAAGCAGTTTCAATCGCACGGCGAGACTATTTCAGTTCAACTAAATGCTCTCAAAAAATTCAAAGAAGCTTTGTTTGGCACAGAGGCAGCTGATAACTTACAAAAAGTTTTAGAAAACAACCCCGACCTGGAGTTTGTGGTAAAAATACTAGGGGCCCAGCTGAAAGCTGGAGAGACCTGTTTAATTATTTTAATATTGATTATTTTAAAATTGTTTTAAAATTTCAGGTTTCTCAAGTTGATAGCGCCCTTCCTACGCAAAAAAAAGTGAAAGAGAAGCTTATGCATTCATTGGTAACGCTTTGGTAAAAAGTTTTCATGAGGGAACTTTTCAAATCCATAGGTGTTTCCCTAGACAATAGGGGCCCAGCTGGAAGCTGGAGAGACCTGTTTGGTTATTTCAGAAAAAAAACGTTATACAAAGCCAATAGCACCAAGCAAAAGCGAGAAAACGTAAGCATAGCGGATTCCATTGTCTAAAAAATACACACAATAAGTATATTGAATCTTTGTTCCAATGCCAAAAAAATTTTTAAAAAAACTTTTCCTAAGTGTACAGCTCTTCCCCGAGACAAATTAAGGACCAGCCGCTTGGGCAGGGGAGTTTCCTACAACCTGGTCTATCGATTAAACCCTTAATCCCAAATCTGGATGGGTAGTTTTTGAAGAAATCGAAAAAGTTTGAAAAAATGGCCTAAAAACCGAAAAATTGACTATTCCTAAGAGTATAGCTCTTCCCCTAGACAAATTAGGGACGAGCCGTTTGTGTAGGGGGGGTTCCTACAACCTGGTCTATCGATTAAACCCTTAATCCCAAATCTGGACGGGTAGTTTTTGAGGAAATCGGAAAGATTTGAAAAAAGGCCAAAAAAGTCAAAAAAGTGACTTTTCCTAAGTCTATAGCTCTTCCCCTAGGCAAGTTAAGGACCAGCTGCTTGTGCGGGGGAGTTTCCTACAACCTGGTCTATCGATTAAACCCTTAATTCCAAATCTGGATGGGTAGTTTTTGAGGAAATCGATAATTTCCGAAAAAATAGGCAAAAAAATCAAAAAAGTGACTTTTCCTAAGTCTATAGCTCTTCCCCTAAGCAAATTAGGGACCAGCCGCTTGTGCATGGGAAGTTCCTACAACATGGTCTATCGATTAAACCCTTAATCCCAAATCTGGACGGCTATTTTTTGGAGAATTCGGAAAGATTTGAAAAAAGGCCAAAAAAATCAAAAAAGTGACTTTTCCTAAGTCTATAGCTCTTCCCCTAGGCAAGTTAAGGACCAACCGCTTGTGCGGGGGAGTTTCCTACAACCTGGTCTATCGATTAAACCCTTAATTCCAAATCTGGATGGGTAGTTTTTGAGGAAATCGATAATTTCCGAAAAAATAGGCAAAAAAATCAAAAAAGTGACTTTTCCTAAGTCTATAGCTCTTCCCCTAAGCAAATTAGGGACCAGGCGCTTGTGCATGGGAGTTTCCTACAACCTGGTCTATCGATTAAAACCTTAATCCTAAATCTGGACGGGTAGTTTTGAGGAAATCGAAAATTTCCGAAAAATGGGCAAAAAGTGAAAAAAGTACCGAGTTGTGAAGAAGTTGTTCTAAGACCGTAGGGGGTGGGTAGGGTAAAAATTGCCCTAAATTTCATGCAGGCAGGTAGGTGAAACGCTACTGAATCCATTGGTACCACTTTTATGAGAATCTGACGGGTAGTTTTTTGGGAAAGCGAATTTTTCGAAAAAGCGTCTCAAAAAAAAAAAGAAAAAAAAAAAAGAAAAAAAAAAAAAACCAGATCTCATCTGGAAAAAAAAATGTTTTCATAATACCTGTTTAATAAATCAAACAGGAAGTACCAAATTCCTTTATGCTCCGATAACATCGTGCAAAGCCGAAAGATTTTTCAGTCTGCTAAAGCGATAATTAGATGACTGTCAAAATGTTCAAAAAAACTTGTTTATGCGTTTATAATACCGAAATTGAAGCTCTCTGAGCTTACCTATCTTTTTTGGCATCTTTGAAAACTTACAAAAGTACTTTTTACGACCCAAGATTAACTTTTTTTCGCTCCCTGGATAGCACAATTAATTCCTTACCAGCTTTTTTGAGGTACTCTAAATCAGGTGAAAAAATTCCTAACGCAACAGTTTTTCCCATACTCCAAACAAATACACAAAAATTGACAATAGTTATGATAATGTTGTGATTATCCTGATGTTGGTGTTAGTCTTGTGTTTGCAATTGGGAACAACTTCTGATTTATCCGTGTTCTTACGGTCCCGTCCAAAACGGTCCCTATTTTGTCAGCGTGAATTACAATTCTGATTTACAACTACCGAGTATATGTTTGTTAGCCATGTAATTTGGGACCAAGTTAACATCCTACCACCCCCCCCACCAGCCGTTTTGGGGGGGGGATGTTAACTTGGTTCTAAAGTTGGGAATTTTCAGCCAGCCAATCAGAATCGAGCATTTTTGTCATTTTACATGCAGCGCTTAGCAAATTTAATGCGAATTAAATGCTGGTGTGGAAGATCTTAACTTGGTCTATCTGGGGGGGGGGGGGGGGGGGGGGTAATTTGTTAGTGGTATTTTTCAATCAATCAGGGCTTATTCAGGATGATTTACTTGCAAAAGGAGTGTTCCACTGTTTTAGCATAAAAAGAACCCAAGATTCCTCAAAATTAGGAAACAACAAACAATTTGAGAGCAATAAACAACAAACTAATTTGTTAGTGGTATTTTTCAATCAATCAGGGCTTATTCAGGATGATTTACTTGCAAAGGAGTGTTCCACTGTTTTAGCATAAAAAGAACCCAAGATTCCTCAAAATTAGGAAACAACAAACAATTTGAGAGCAATAACGGAGATCGAGTTATTTGGTGTTTTTGTTTGAACTTGGCAAGTTCACTTAGGTTTCAAAAATCCGTAAAAATTTATTACAAAACTGACCTCAATTCAACACAATCTCCCAACGTGGCCGCCTGCTGACTATTCGGCTTCCTCTGTGGCGCTCCATTTTTATCTGTGCCTTGTGCATTAGGTCCCGCCACTGTTGCAGCCGCATAAGTATTGCCATAATTGCCACCTGGACCAGCTACTGTCTTGTCCCCTTGACGTGGCAGATATGCATCCACTCTGACCTTGAGGGTGTCAAACAGAGCTAAGAAGATGCCCATTTCGTAGAGCAGGAAACAGTTCTTTCGGGTCCACGTCATTACATCTTCTTCTGATTCGACCTCCGAGAAGTTTCCTTAAAAATCAGATTTTTTTCAGAGATAGTTGGAAAAGAACTGATGATAAATCAGAGACGAGATATTTGGACGCTTGAGTACTTGAATAGCTTTTTGTGCCACAGCTCAATGAGAAGTTTTTGACAGAAGAATAACGAACGGCAAGAAAAAATTGTAGACTCAAATGGGCCTAGGTAAACATTTTGCGCGCGCACAATTCATCTGAACTCATGTTAAAAATTCGAAACAGCGTAAAAGCTAAAAATTAAGCCACAATAAATATATCCCGAAACCTTTAAACGTCAAAAACATCATTAAAAACCACAGATAACACTCATACAAAACCTCATGTACTCAACCAATAAACGGTATTCTACTTTCATTGTAGCACTAGTACTATTTACCCTGGCACAAATAGGCTAGTGCCCTGATGGCAGCCAGACGTCTCTCCTCGGAGGCCACTTCGAGACAGTCCAGAATAACCAGCACACAACTCCTCCTCTCCCTCACACTCATCGCACTCCACTTCTTATCTGCTCCTACCAACAAGGCAAGTCTACTATAACGACAGTATCCAAAACTGCACGTACTTAATAAATGAAAATTCTCATCGTTATTTGACAAATTGCAACTTGAAACAGTTTTCATTGCAGCTGATTATCACCTGCTTGCCCCGATTCATCAGATTAACAATTGAATATTTCGAAAAAATGCGATTGTCGAGCGAAAAAAAAACAATAAAGTAAGAGCGTCTCAAAATTAAAAACTCGAGCTTAGAATGTATAACGAAAGCTAAGAAACTAAAATTTCGACGTGTGGAGGGACAGATTTTTGTTCAACTTCAGGTCGACTAAACTGATCTTCCGTCTTCCGAGTTCTGTTGAATCACTTAGAGAAACTGCTGGGTTAGAAAACACTGCTGGGCTGACTTTTTTGGAAGGTTTCAACAAAACATGCCAGCGAATACTGCAAGCTCTCCCTCAGACGACATACTACCCTGGCTCCCTTAAATCCTCCCCTGTATAAAATAATTTTGTATGATTCGAATTTCTGAACTTTTGTTTCGATCCACTTAAGCTCAACTTTATATTTGAACTGCGTAAAATCAGAAAAATGATGAGCATGCCATACATACCAACTATCTCGTAGAAGCTCTCTTTGTTCAGGTCAAAATCAGAAACCTCTGTGTATGCATAGAACTCTAAACATCAAATACATATCTCGTCTAATTAACAGCCACCAATTACGACTCCTATATCACGTGCGCGTGGACATTGAAATGTCGTTGTCCAACGTGTGTTTTTTATTACACCATATGTAATCAAATTAAAAAAACTCTGTTGCCTTTTCTGTAAATTATAATACCTAGTTGTTTTGTAAAATCCCTAAAATCCCTTGTAGTCTTTCTTTCTACAAATCTTATTTTCAGGTTTAAACTACATCGGAGTCCTGACAATTAATGCACACTTAACAGGGGCGAAGCGCAGCTCCAACCATTATGGTGAAAAAAAAACAGATTTTAATTATTTTGCAAACTTGAACTGAAAAGTGTCAAACTCTACTGCAAAATAAGAAAAAATGGGTTGAGAAGTTTTGCTTTCGAGTCTATATTGGAGCGAGTAAAGCGGGAGAGTGAATTAAGTTAATTAAGCTATAAAATAATTAAGCTATAAAATAAATAAGTTCTTAGCTGTTGACTAATAGTTCTTGCAGCTAAATTTAAAACTTAGTCAGTACCCAGTCAAATAAAATATCGATAAATTGCAACTTAAAAAAATAGTTTGCGTTTTTGCCAAGATAACTCTAGTTAATTAAAGTTCCAGGACGAAGACTTTATCAGCTATGACTACACATTAAAAATCTACACAGAGGCGAAGCTTAAGCTTCGGAAAAACGGTCGAGAAAGCAGCAAAAAAAATCAGGAAATGCACATAAGCTTAATTTTACTTGTAACACAGAGGCGAAGCTGAGCTTCGCACATGCGATACAGAACAAGAAAATTATTGAAAAACAACTCAAAAATGTCCAAAAATAGGTCTATCAAAATTATCTAGTTTGAAACAGAAACATTCCAACACTAAAAACAACTACAATAAAAAAACTGAAAAAAAAAGATGGCAAATAAGCCGACAATTTTTTCCCGTTAGAAAAAACTGGTCCTGTCAAATTCAAACCCAAGACCTAAGCCGACACAGGTGCATTCTCTACCTCCAGATTAAGTGTGCCGGAGACGCAAAGAAATTGAAATTCATTATGAACTGGACCTAACCTTAGCATTTCTAGTTTTGACCAGCCTGTGAACTAAGTTATTTAGGGGAAAAAAAGTCCAGTACCCTATTGCAATACCCTTGCCTACCGCAAGAGCAATAACTTGGAATGTAATTAACTATTGCTTTGTTCAGTTCAGTTGCGGAATGAAAAAAAAAGCATCAACTCTGTTGGCTTGTTACTGATCAAAAGTCAAAGCACTAGAAAAAACCGCCTACCGATTCAAAAGTTCCACAAAAAGTAGAAACTTTATCGCGATTTAGGTATGAAAAAAGTGGTATCGTACTACCACACTACGCTACGCTCGTGCAAATAAGATCAACATAGCCAACAGATAATTGAAAAAGTTTCAATGAACACACGGATGCAGGAATTAAAGACCAAGTTTTTTTTAAAAAAAAAAAACAAGTATCACATTTCGAATAAAGATATCAATGAATCTTAAAAACAACATAGACGAAACTTTGGTGATAAAGTTAATCTAATTTGAGATATGTTATTTTTTTTAATGCTGGGAAATCTAAAAACTAGACTCGACTTTAAAAACCACGTTTTTCACGTTTTAACGCTCCATTTCCCATTTTGTAATTGGAGAACGCAACATACCTTCCGTTTAGCCAATGAATTTGAATTGAACTTTTAAAATATCGAAAGCCCAGCCGCAAGAGATAATTCCGAAATCTAGAGTCAATCGCATTGGTGCGAAGAAATTTTAGGACTTACTCAATTTGACTTTTATCAGAGACTTCACTACGTTCACTGACACCTGAAAAAAAACGGAGAATAAGTTTTTTATAGCAGGATTTTTGCACAGGAATTTAAACTGCAGACAATTCAGCCAAGAACACACATGCAATTATGCCAGTGTTTCAACTGACTAGATTCCAAAAAAAAAACTGAATTGTAGTTAAATACCAGTTTACCGCCGCCGCTTAGCACGCTTCGGCACAAACATTGAAACCAAACTTCATATAGAGGGCTACTTTCTGTTGGCTTGTCTCAAAGTGCAAACGGCAAACTTTTGAACACAGCGCAAACGGCAAATTTTTGAACAAAGGCTTGTCTTAAAAAGCAAACGGCTGAGTCTTTTTTCATGCGAATAATTCAAAAAAAACTGCAAACTATCAACGTTGATTCATTTTCGAAGCTTCGTGATAATACAAAGTCTTGGAAAAATTTTGGGACAATTGAGTTGCTAGCAGATATCGATATTTTCAGTTAACTGCTAAAATCAGTTTTAGCTTGCACAATTTATGTTTTATTTTAGTTCAGCAATACAAAAACGCCTTTTTTATACAGAGGCGAAGGGGAGCTTCGCACCACTTGCAATGCGACATAATCATAAAAAACCAAAAATATAAAATATTAAAAAACTAGGTGATGAAGGACACCTAGTACTCAGCTTAAGCTGGAAGCACGTATTTGATATTTTTGAATTTGTTATACTGATGCGGAACGAAATGCGTAATTTCAAATATTGTACTTAGCACAAAAACTTGGTAATTTTTCTACTAAAATAAGTGACAAGAGTGGAAAATTTTCAGATTTTGGAATTTCCCCAAAGATCTAGTCTTTCTCTTACAAAATTTATGAATTAGCCACTTCAGCAAAAAAATCGCCCAACCTCTTCTTTCGATTAAAATTTTCATCTCAGATTTGATAGGGCTGTTTTTAAGAAAATTCAAAAAGTTTCTAAAAAACCGTCAAAGTTCAAAAACTTGATTTTCTAAAATCGTTAATTTTTTTTCTGCTAAAAATAGGGTCGTGGCCCGTACACTAGAGAAGATTCCCAAATTTGATCAATAAACTTGAGAATTGGCACGGTAATTTTGAGTAGAGTCAAAAAATTCCAAGAAACTGTTCAGTTTCCAAAACTTTCAGTTGTTTGAAGGTTACAATTATTTTTCTCAAAAAAACGATGCATAACAAACTGAAAAGTTAAGCTTCCAACAACCTGCTGGGTCAATTAAAGCTATGATATCAGATTTAGCAGGATAGTTACCGAGAAAAGTCCAAAAATTGGTTAACAAATCAGAAAAGTGCCACTTCAGAGAATCATAGTTTTTTGTTTTTAAAAATTATTAGAAATAGCCGCTTATGTAGAAGAAATTCACCCAATCTGTATTTTCGATTGAATCCAAAAACCTAGGTTTGGCAGAGTACATATCGAGAAAAGTTCAAACAACGTTAAAAAAAATTGCCTTTTCCGAGGGCCATATTTTTTGGGTCAAAATCATTTGGGCATAGTCTCGCAAAGGAGCTTCCTACAACCTGTCCTTTGGATTGAGCCAAAAATCTCAGATTTAGGAGGGGATTTTTAGGTAAACTTCATAAAATTTTGAAAAAAAAATCGCTTAAAAAATTGTCTTTTACGAGGGGGATTACTTTTTGCGTAAATAAAAGTGAGTGGCCGCTAATGCACAGAGCTTTTGACCGACTCAAAAAACGGGCCACAGTTTTATGTACAAAAAAATAGGCATAACCGATTATGGAGCGGGGCTGTTCAAATCCGCTCTACTCATTGAAACCAAAATCTCAGATTTGGTAGGCTAGTTTTTGAGAAAACGAAGAAAAAATCAAAAATATTAGTCAAACATTCCCCCCCCACACACTTTTGCGAAGGCTGTAGACAGAGGGGTATAGCAAAAAGATCATGGGAGTATGCATGTACATAATAATGTAGGCGATCTTTCTATGGATACTCCTTTTCTGAAAATCGGTATATTTTCAAAAGCGTCTCAAAAGCGTCTCATCACTTTCATAATGCCTGTTTATAACAAACAGGAATTCTGGACAAATATGCCAAGCAAGACATTTGAAAATCAAATTAGCAACTGAACAAACCTTAAAAAGCGAAAACAGGCCGACAATCTTTGAGCAGACACCAGTTGAGCCGAAAAAAAACTAATTTTGTAGAAAACTTTTAGTAGGTTCAAGTTACCCTTGAAATTACCATATGAAGTTACCCTTGAAGTAACTAGTACCCACCCAAAAGTTAATTTTGCATTTTCATGAAATTGAGCAAGCAAACTGAAGAGCAAGCCAAAAGAAGAGCGTTGAGCATGTCACGTGATTCAACTGATTTCGTTAGACTAATTGTTAACCCGAAGAAAAAAATCTATATTCCGATTTGATGACGCTTGCTAAACGCAAGCGTAAATATTAAATATTAGCCGCCGACCCATCTCCAACCATTCAACCTTGGGCCTTTGGCTCTTTTAAAATATGATTCTTTTTATTTTGTAATAAAACGGTATAACAAAATAAACACATTTAAAAACGGTATCAGAAAGTAGCAGTGAAGACTCAGCAATAAATATTTTATCTGGCAGAATTGACAAAAACTTCCAATATCGTTAATTGTACCTGACAATTCGGATATGAAGTGGTCTGAATCATCGTAGATGAAGTCAAGATCCAAAATACTGCCACTGATTTCCCCCTGAAAATAATCTCACTTAGTTTTTGTCGCTGACGAAATTCAAAGACCGTGCAAATTAAAATGCACCGTGAAAACTTCCCTTATCACCGTAGAAATTAAAGTGCATCAAACAACTGCACGCATGTGCCCAAATTCTCCAAATGAGAAATTTCCGGTAAAAATCAATTTAATCAATCAAAACTGATGAAAACATGCTGTAAAACACAATGAATTTTCTTTGCCTTGTAATTTAAACGAAACGTTATTAATTTGGCCGCCACAAGGTGATTGTAAAACTCTGATGTGATATTAATGCACACCACGCCGCGAATGTTTACACTTCAACTTCTCGAGGTTTTTTCGAGTTGTTTGGATTACTTTTTCGATCTCAAACGAGGACGATCTATCTGGCACTGGAGGTTGCATAGGAGTGGCTGTGACATTACTGAATGTATTGTAATTGTCATTTGGAGAAGAAGTCACATTGGATGGCAAAGGTGATGATGATGATGATGATGCTGATGAGTCATCGTTGACATTCTGATTGGCCAATTGGGCTTTCTTCACTTTGCTCATAATCTGCTTCACTTGGCAGAAGGGGATGCGATCCTAATTAACTCAGCTACACTTTTGTTCCATTCACATCCAAGTTAGATGTCAAAATTGAGCATTACCATGCTATCATAATGGTTCAGGCTATTTGTATTCATTCAACTTTACGCAGAACGTGATTTAGACCACATCATGACAATTGTTGTAAGGAAGGTAAGCTATTTCCCATACCCCTATCACCCTTAAATTCATAATCCCAAAAACCTAGTAGCGAAGCGAAACTTTCTGTGACAAGGCTGGGCGACAAGAATTGAGGCAAAAAAAGCCACTCGTTTTTTAGAATCAGTTCTAATGTCAGCTTCTTGTGAAACAAAACCCCAGCCATCAGTCAATGGAAAGAAATGTTCAAAAACTTCACCCGGAAGTTCTTTCAGCGATGATTAATCAACAAAGCACTGACTATATTAAGTATGTATTCTCTGTCTTTTTCATATAAGGGAGTGGTAATGGTAAAATCCAACTGGAAACCTCCGATTGCACGATGAGATCAGGAAAGTGTAAAGTACCTGTGAGTCATCGTTGAACTGGGGTGTCTTTTTATTCAGTAGGTCCTTGAAGGGACTCGGTCTGTCTCCGAAGTCCTTCTCCTGATCCGAATCCATTTCCAACATCTAGCACCGTCTGACTTCAGTATACCACTGACCTTTGCTGTTGTTCAAGTTCAATTGAAGTTCATCGCACTGGGAAAATTTAAAACGCAATTGTTTATTATCTTTGCTGGAACCTATGCTGCATTGCTAACTGAAAAAAGAATGTATATGATAAATTATAATTGTAATCCAGGCCCCAAAGAATTCAGCTGCTATATAGAGCAAATTCTCCAGCTCTACAAAACTTCATTTTGTTTCTGCTCATCAAAAAGTTCCAATCAACTTTCTTTTTATTCTTTTCATACTGTTAGTAGGATCAACATAGCAAGCAGACAGTCTAATAGTGTGAAAAAAAACTAAAAGAAATGAACAAAAACAACTTAATTAAATTATTATTTTTCGAGTTTATTGAAAAAATTAACGTAACTAAGAGTCTTTGATTTTAAAAAATAATTAATGATCGACTTTTCTTACAAAAATTACCAAAATTGAAGAAAAAATCAAGCTCCATTTTCATAGCCATTTGCACTTTGCTTATTGGAGAGCGTAATTTGCCTTCCATTCAGCAAACGAATTTGAAGTGGATTGAATCTCAACTCACTCACCAAAACATACAGTTGCTCATGAACAAAGATTCGAAAACCAAATACGACCGACATGAAAATTGGAAAAATACGAGCTTCCAACGACCTGTACAAAGCTGGATATACAGGAATGAGCGTATAAACAATTTGAAGCCAACCTCACGCCAAAAAAACTATGTTTTTCAAAAACAGTTCAAGAAGTACAAAAACGGAACTTGTGGCCTATATTTTTTTTAAAAACTTGGCTATGGTGCCGAATTTTTTTTGCATTTTTTTGCTTGAAATAGGATCGTTATATTGTTTAGGTTGGAACACCTCGGAAACTTAACTTGATCGACGTCGACCTTACAGAAAAGGTCATAATTATCGAATCCTCTCCCCTCCCCTCGAAAAAAACCTAGATCATTGCTTGAATGAAGTATGCCAAAATATCGAAACCAACTAAATTTATGGATTTTTTCTCGCTTCTTTAAACTTACTCTTTTAAAAGTTTCTTAAGCAAAGTTTTATTGAATTAGGTCAACTCAGTTGTGGTTAATTTACAGTCAATTACTACTATTCCTCGTTTCCAAATTCTGAATACTGTCTCAGTGAGCGTAGTTTTTAATATTCGGGTGGAACTCAACTCCCAGCATGTGTTTCACGCTAACGACTATATTCTCAATTTGGGGCATTGTTATGCGTTCGAGGTTCATCGCGTATGGTACAGGGATATCGGCTTGCGAGACTCGCATGGGGTTCGCATCCAGGTAATCAAATCCTTCAGATTCCACTACTTTTGTGATTACTTCAGACCCGATTCCGCTTTGGGGCCAGCCGCCTTCCACTGTTAATAGATGATGTGTCTTTTTAACGGACTCCAGTACTGTATCCGTATCCATAGGTCGCAATGTTCTAAGATTCACAACTTCAGCTTCGATGCCATAATCCTGTTTCAAAGCAGCAGCCGCTTCCAGGCACAATCCAACATGTTTGGAAAAGGATACAATTGTAACATCTTTGCCTTCTAGCTCGATTTTCGCTTTTCCAATTGGCAGCATAAAGTCTGGACTTAAAGCTTCTTCACTGATTTCGGTCGGATTTCCATATGCCAGTTCGTTTTCCAGGAAAACTACCGGGTCATCGCAACGCACCGCCGCTTTAAACAAACCCCTATAATCCTCTCCAGAGTAAGGTGAAATTACAATGAGACCTGGAACGTGGGAATAATATGCTCCGTAGCATACACTATGCTGAGCGGCAACTCCTGCCGCGGCACCATTGGGCCCTCGGAACACGATCGGACATTTCACAGCTCCAGCCGACATATAGTGACTTTTGGCAGCTGAATTCACGATTTGGTCGATGGCCTGCATCGAGAAGTTAAAGGTCATGAACTCGACAATAGGTCTGAGCCCGGCGAAGGCGGCACCCACTGTAATTCCGCAGAAGCCAATTTCTGTGATGGGAGTGTCAATCACTCGTTTGTCTCCCCATTCTTTGTGCAAGTTCTTTGTGACCTTGTAGGCACCGTCGTATTGAGCTACCTGGAAATAATTCAAGGTTTAATTTTGAAAAAAAAAGCTGGACAACAAACTAATGAAAAAAAGTTCATAAACATTAAGTCAAGAAAAAATACATTTCAAAGAAAATGAAGCAGTAAAAAGAAAAAAAATTTTTTCTAGCTTTCAAATTTGATGGCCAATTTCCATCTATGAAAATCCAACATCCGAGCCAAGTATCAAAAACTCTTCGACAAACCTCTTATGATTGACATTTCCTTAATTTTAACAAACTTTAGATAACTAAGTCAACACGTATTTTTATTCCGTTGTCTTTCCCGAAAAATTATATTCACATTTGAAAACGAAAGAGAAGACATATCCACGTCCTTGCCACACGTCATTCTCGGAGATGATAATTATAGTTTAGGTACATTATTGTACATTACTCGCCTCTTCGCCCATGACAAATACTCTGTCATCCCTTCGGATCTCTTCGTCAATTGCACTGTTCAGTGCATCTCTGATGGTCATCTGTTTGGACGCCATCAGCCTCTTCTGACTCACACTTATCCGCACATTATGTTGATGTTGCAATTGATTTTGCTGGTCTCTGCTTACCCGGCCCATTTGAGAAACACATCGTCGCATATGCAACATTATAAAACTGAAACATGAGACTCAAACATTGCCATCAGAATGGTTGAAAGTTTCAACTGAAACAAGCAAAATAAACACAATACAGTATTAATTCCAAGATTAAATTTGTGTTCGAATAAAAATCGATATTGTTCGTCTCATCTGAGAAAAATTGTTCGCGAAGATAACTAGGGGCCCAGCTAAAGCTGGAGTTATCTCTTTGATACTTTTTGAATTTGATGCACTGATGCGGGATGAAATATGTAATTTCTAAAATTGGGCTTCACTCAAAACCTTAGTCGTGTCTCCAATAAAATAAGAGTGAAACTTTTTGAGAATTCGGAACTTTCTTACAAACATAACATTTATCGTACAAACCTTAAGCCGTAGCCGTTTACGAACCGAGGCTTCCCACAACCTATTGATTCGTTTAAACCTTTGATGTCAGACTCGGCTGAATAGTTTCATGACCTTTACTGTATGAAAATTTCGACGTCGCCGTTTGTACAAGGGAGCAACTCTCAGCCCTTAATTTTGATTAACTTTGACTTTTCCGAGGGTATAGACACTTGTGCAGGCGGGCTTCACGCAAATGGTTTTTTTATTAGTTTTCAAAAAAAGGCAAAAAGTTTTTTTTTAAAACGGTCAAAATGTCACAAATATGACTTTTCCGAGGACCCTAATTTTTTGTGGAAGAAAACTAAGTTTAGCCGCTAATACAGGAGAGCTTTCATTGATTCCTTTTCTCCACTGAACCCAAAATCTCAGATTTCGGAGGGTAGTTTTCGAGAAAAATCAAAAAGCTCGAAAGACAACAAAAATCAAAACTTTGACTTTTCTGAGGGTCATACCTTTTCGAGTAAAAAAAATGGGCGTAATCACTTATGCAGTGGAGCTTCCAACGCCCCGTTCTTTTGATTGAAATCAAAATCTCAAATTTGGGAGGGTACTTTTCGAGAAAAGTCAATAAGTTTCAACAAACGTCAAAACTTTGACTTTTCCGAGGGTCATAACTTTTCGAGAAAAACTTAGACGTCGCCGCTTATGCAAAGAAGCTTCTCACGAACCGTCATTTCGATTGAAATCAAAATCTCAACTTTGCGAGCGTAGGTCTTGAGAAAAGTCACATGTTCCGCAAGCGGTCAAAAACGAAAAATGCGAAGGCCAGATCTTTTGTGTAAAAATATTTGGGTGTAGCTGCTTATGCAGAGGATCTCCCAAGAGCCGTTCTATCTCAGATTTTGGTGAGCAGTTTTTGAGAAAATAAAAAAATCCAAAAAAAAACTTTCAAAAAATCCCGCACATTTTTTTGAAGGCTGCAGAAAGTAAGGCAAAAAGAGACTTTCCATTGGTAGTACTTTTTTGAAAATTGATAGAGTACACTACCTTTACACTTTTGCTGTTCGCTAGTGGAATTTGTCTTCCTTTTAGCAAAGGAAATGAAGTGACCTTAATCAAATCGCGAAAAGCAAACTGATACTTTTTTATTTCACTCTCAGACTTTTAGTAAATTCGTCGATTTCAGGACTTTCTAATTTCAGGGTTTAACTCATTCAGCTGGTTCCATTCAGCTAACTCATATTCGCATTACAAAAAAGTAGAACTACTCGACAACTTTCAAGAATTCAATTCGGCTCCAATATCATCTCATCAGTTTTATACAACTCAAGCAAAAAAAATGTCGACGAAACCTTCCAATCAACGTTTTCTAAACTGTTTCTTCTTTCGCGGACCCGGCTGTGCAATTTTATTCCTCTCCCTTTTTCTTGGATCTCTTGTCAACATCCCCGACAACCTCAACTTCTCTACCAAATTATCTTCCAAAAAGGGGACCATAGCTCTGGACAGAGCCAGTCTCACTGAGTTGGACTGGCTGCTTCTGCCGCCACCTTCAACAGTGGCTTTTACGTGGAATTTGCCGTACATTTTTGTGACTGAAATAGGAAACATGACTTGTTCTCTGTCTTGAATGTAGTCAAAATGTTCACTCAGCAGCTTTTCATTGACAGTTACTTCTGCTTCCTCGTTATCTTTGCAGGGTCTAAGTTCAACCTAAAAACCGTATGAAATAAGTCAACGAACATAGCCAACAGAGAGTGGGAAAGTCAATTATCTCATGGTAACTGAACCAAAATCTGACTATTTGTAGTGCAAACCATGAATGAATTTCGCCATCCTCTTTTTGTTAAAAGAAAGTAGGGAACCTAGCCGAGATTCCTCACTTAACAACCAAGGCTAAGTGTATTATTCTCTCACACAGTTTTTTCTATTAGCTTGAATGTCCTGATTTAAATGCCAAAAAAAATTACGCTGGTAAAATATTAAAACTGTACAGCAACCTTGCTTTTTTATTTGAATAATCAACCTATTTGTAAAGTAAGCCATGAATGCTTTTAGCCATCCTCAATTCGCCTCTGATTAGTAAACTTTTCAAAAAAGGGACTATAGGAGATATTCCTCACTTAGCAATAAAGGCTGTGTATTATTCTCTCATTGAGTTTTTCTCCCAGCCTGAATGTCCTGACATGAAATGTGAAGAAAATTTACGCTGGTAAAAGTATTCAAAACGTATCAACAGCCTTGCTTTTTTATTTGACCAATCAACCTATTTGTAGTGTCAAGCATGAAAGGACTTCACCAACCTCTTTTTGCTTTTTAAAAAAAAAAATTTCAAAACAGGAAATGTAGGAGAGATTCCTCACTTAACAATCAAGGCTAAGTGAATTATTCTCTCACACAGTTTCTCTACCAGCTTGAATGTCTTGACATTGTGACATGTCAAGAAAAGTTACACTGGTAAAAGTATCCAAAACGTATTAACAGCCTTGCTTTTTTATTTGACCAATCAACCTATTTGTAGTGTAACGCATGAAAGGAATTCACCAACCTCTTTTTGCTTTTTGAAAGTAAATTTTTCAAAACAGGAAATGTAGGAGAGATTTCTCACTTAACAATCAAGGCTAAGTGTATTATTCTCTCACACAGTTTCTCTACCAGCTTGAATGTCTTGACATTGTGACATGCCAAGAAAAGTTACACTGGTAAAAGTATTCAAAACGTATCAACAGCCTGCTTTTTTATTTGGCCAATCAACCTATTTGTAGTGTCAAGCATGAAAGGACTTCACCAACCTCTTTTTGCTTTTTGAGATTAAATTTTTCAAAACAGGAAATGTAGGAGAGATTCCTCGCTTAACAATCAAGGCTAAGTGTATTATTCTCTCACACAGTTTCTCTACCAGCTTGAATGTCTTAACATTGTGACATGTCAAGAAAAGTTACACTGGTAAAAGTATTCAAAACGTATCAACAGCCTTGCTTTTTTATTTGGCCAATCAACCTATTTGTAGGTTCAAGCATGAAAGGACTTCACCAACCTCTTTTTGCTTTTTGAGATTAAATTTTTCAAAACAGGAAATGTAGGAGAGATTCCTCACTTAACAATCAAGGCTAAGTGTATTATTCTCTCACACAGTTTCTCTACCAGCTTGAATGTCTTGACATTGTGACATGCCAAGAAAAGTTACACTGGTAAAAGTATTCAAAATGTATCAACAGCCTGCTTTTTTATTTGGCCAATCAACCTATTTGTAGTGTCAAGCATGAAAGGACTTCACCAACCTCTTTTTGCTTTTTGAGATTAAATTTTTCAAAACAGGAAATGTAGGAGAGATTCCTCACCTAACAATCAAGGCTAAGTGTTTTATTCTCTCACACAGTTTCTCTACCAGCTTGAATGTCTTGACATTGTGACATGCCAAGAAAAGTTACACTGGTAAAAGTATTCAAAACGTATCAACAGCCTTGCTTTTTTATTTGGCCAATCAACCTATTTGTAGTGTCAAGCATGAAAGGACTTCACCAACCTCTTTTTGCTTTTTGAGATTAAATTTTTCAAAACAGGAAATGTAGGAGAGATTCCTCACTTAACAATCAAGGCTTAGTGTATTATTCTCTCACACAGTTTCTCTACCAGCTTGAATGTCTTAACATTGTGACATGTCAAGAAAAGTTACACTGGTAAAAGTATTCAAAACGTATCAACAGCCTTGCTTTTTGATTTGGCCAATCAACCTAATTGTAGTGTTAAGCATGAAAGAACTTCACCAACCTCTTTTTGCTTTTTAAAGTACATTTTTCAAAACAGGAAATGTAGGAGAGATTCCTCACTTAACAATCAAGGCTAAGTGTATTATTCTCTCACACAGTTTCTCTACCAGCTTGAATGTCTTAACATTGTGACATGTCAAGAAAAGTTACACTGGTAAAAGTATTCAAAACGTATCAACAGCCTTGCTTTTTTATTTGGCCAAACAACCTATTTGTAGTGTCAAGCATGAAAGGACTTCACCAACCTCTTTTTGCTTTTTGAGATTAAATTTTTCAAAACAGGAAATGTAGGAGAGATTCCTCACTTAACAATCAAGGCTAAGTGTATTATTCTCTCACACAGTTTCTCTACCAGCTTGAATGTCTTAACATTGTGACATGTCAAGAAAAGTTACACTGGCAAAAGTATTCAAAACGTATCAACAGCCTTGCTTTTTGATTTGGCCAATCAACCTAATTGTAGTGTTAAGCATGAAAGAACTTCACCAACCTCTTTTTGCTTTTTAAAGTACATTTTTCAAAACAGGAAATGTAGGAGAGATTCCTCACCTAACAATCAAGGCTAAGTGTTTTATTCTCTCACACAGTTTCTCTACCAGCTTGAATGTCTTGACATTGTGACATGCCAAGAAAAGTTACACTGGTAAAAGTATTCAAAACGTATCAACAGCCTTGCTTTTTTATTTGGCCAATCAACCTATTTGTAGTGTCAAGCATGAAAGGACTTCACCAACCTCTTTTTGCTTTTTGAGATTAAATTTTTCAAAACAGGAAATGTAGGAGAGATTCCTCACTTAACAATCAAGGCTTAGTGTATTATTCTCTCACACAGTTTCTCTACCAGCTTGAATGTCTTAACATTGTGACATGTCAAGAAAAGTTACACTGGTAAAAGTATTCAAAACGTATCAACAGCCTTGCTTTTTGATTTGGCCAATCAACCTAATTGTAGTGTTAAGCATGAAAGAACTTCACCAACCTCTTTTTGCTTTTTAAAGTACATTTTTCAAAACAGGAAATGTAGGAGAGATTCCTCACTTAACAATCAAGGCTAAGTGTATTATTCTCTCACACAGTTTCTCTACCAGCTTGAATGTCTTAACATTGTGACATGTCAAGAAAAGTTACACTGGTAAAAGTATTCAAAACGTATCAACAGCCTTGCTTTTTTATTTGGCCAATCAACCTATTTGTAGTGTCAAGCATGAAAGGACTTCACCAACCTCTTTTTGCTTTTTGAGATTAAATTTTTCAAAACAGGAAATGTAGGAGAGATTCCTCACTTAACAATCAAGGCTAAGTGTATTATTCTCTCACACAGTTTCTCTACCAGCTTGAATGTCTTGACATTGTGACATGCCAAGAAAAGTTACACTGGTAAAAGTATTCAAAACGTATCAACAGCCTGCTTTTTTATTTGGCCAATCAACCTATTTGTAGTGTCAAGCAGGAAAGGACTTCACCAACCTCTTTTTGCTTTTTGAGATTAAATTTTTCAAAACAGGAAATGTAGGAGAGATTCCTCACTTAACAATCAAGGCTAAGTGTATTATTCTCTCACACAGTTTCTCTACCAGCTTGAATGTCTTGACATTGTGACATGCCAAGAAAAGTTACACTGGTAAAAGTATTCAAAACGTATCAACAGCCTGCTTTTTTATTTGGCCAAACAACCTATTTGTAGTGTCAAGCATGAAAGGACTTCACCAACCTCTTTTTGCTTTTTGAGATTAAATTTTTCAAAACAGGAAATGTAGGAGAGATTCCTCACTTAACAATCAAGGCTAAGTGTATTATTCTCTCACACAGTTTCTCTACCAGCTTGAATGTCTTAACATTGTGACATGTCAAGAAAAGTTACACTGGTAAAAGTATTCAAAACGTATCAACAGCCTTGCTTTTTGATTTGGCCAATCAACCTAATTGTAGTGTTAAGCATGAAAGAACTTCACCAACCTCTTTTTGCTTTTTAAAGTACATTTTTCAAAACAGGAAATGTAGGAGAGATTCCTCACTTAACAATCAAGGCTAAGTGTATTATTCTCTCATACCGTTTCTCTGCCAGCTTGAATGTCCTGACATTGTGACATGTCAAGAAAAGTTACACTGGTAAAAGTATTCAAAACGTATCAACAGCCTTGCTTTTTTGATTTGACCAATCAACCTATTTGTAGTGTAAACCATAAATGAACTTTACCAACTTCTTTTCTTGGTGTCTGGAAAGCGAATTTTTTTTTAATTAGCGATTGTGGGAGAGACTACTCACTGAACAATTAATGCAGTGTATTATTCTTTCACTCTCTTTCGAAATGAATAAGCGGACTATAATGCGCAAAGTCACTTTTTGTATATGCTAAATATAGATGGTCACAGCGCTCAGCTTTAACATCTTTTTGTTTCTGAAATCGCAATGAACCATGCACGCATTGTTTTTTATTATTATCAAGTGTAATGAAATTCTCACCGTAGCTTTTGCAGTGAATTTCGCTCCCTGGGCAATAGATACACGGTCGAATGGATCACTTTCCAGAAATCCTTCGATATCGTTTAAAGATTGCTTTTGCTGTTTCACTTCAATTGAGAGACCCGCAGTTCCTGTCTTAACACGAAATGCTTCCAAAAGATGCTCGTAATCTGCCGCCATTGGATGAGTCCTACAAACAATCGGATACAGAAAACATTTTTTTAAATCTTATTTTTTCCTGCTGCATGTACGCACCGCGAGCAGAGACCTATTACAAAACATCATAGCTTGCAAAAATTACTCAGACACTTATTGAAAACTCAAACCGTTCTCTAAATTTTCTCAAAATGGAAAACCGTACAAATTTATTGAGGCAACTTTCTCTTTCCCTGATAGTGACCGAGTGTTCACTATGGCACGCATCCTTCTGCAAGAATTAATGACTAACATTTAAATATGCATTGGTAAAAACAGCTGCAACCACTAAAACATACATAAAACACTTGACCTTGAAATGAAAACTTTGATTAACCTTATATTAATTGTTACACAAAACGATAAAAGTTGTTATTTTCAAAAAACATGACGGTTAGATTTTTTTCGAGTGCAGCAAAAAAATAAACGTACGCAAGTCGTCTGATGAGCGAATTGAAGTGTCGCATGTTATATTTAGCCACTTTCGTGTTGAGTAGATCTGACAACTTCTGCTCTCCCATCCATCTTTGGGTCAATGGATCATAAGGTAAGAACCTTTCGGGTCTCCTTCCCTCTTTTAAAGCTTGGTCGCATTTGTGAATTGCATCTGCTAGCAGGAAAAACAAATTGCTAAATTCTGCATTTACGGAAAAGAAAAAAGGGTTCTTCGGTCGCTTATTTTCATCAACTTCTAGCGTGGCCGTTTTCGGGAAAATTTCATCTGGATGCTTCATAATCGGCCGCGATCTCTTCGAAAACAAAGCAATCGGGAAAAGATACTGTATCGCCTGGTTTATATCGCTTTGCGTCATCAATTCCGAATCAACACCCATCATGTTTCCAAGATGTCTTTTACCCAATTCGAACTGTTTCACTTGGTACTCAATGAATTCCTTGTCTATTCCTGTTTTTGCTAATGTTTTCGCTATTCGATGAGGTGGAAGTGAATCTTGTCGGTAAGGGTCTGTAGTTCTACTCATTGGTGGTGGACGAAACATTATTTTGTCACCTGGTCCACCCTTTTGACGCACAAAATTAAGTGTTACGCGCCTCATTTGACGTTACTTCACATTTGATCTTCTAAAAGAAATTTACCAAAAACTGAACACTTATATTCATTCACATTCTTTATTTATGTCATTTTTAGAGCCCAATGAAGCATCGGTCTGCGACATCTCTTGGAAATCCGACAATTTGAGACAAAATTAAATGCCAAAAATAAAAAAATATATATATTTCTCATACGAAACGTGAAATAATTAACTGAATTCTGTTCACGAAATCGTCGGCTAAAATATCAAGAACACCTTTTGCAATTCTTCTAGAAATGAATAACCTAAAAAAAGACAAAAAATGCTCCACAAACTACATTCATTTCTTTCTCGTTACTAATAGATGAAAACGAGAAGAAAAAAGTGAAGTTTCGGTCAAAAATCATAACACAAAAATTTCAAAACTCCACAACACAAAAAATTTCAAAATTTCAAAACAGTTTTGCTTAAAATTTTGAAAGCAAACAAACCGCATGACAGTTAGGAACAAATGGGATTATCAAAAGGGACTATTTAAGGCTTGCTATAAGCTAAGATAAAACAAAACAAGGATAGCCAGTTGCTGCGCAGGTATCACTAAGTTCCGCACACTGAATAAAAAAATAAATAGTCCGAAAAAGTTCAAAAACCTTAGTTCGCAAAAACAAACAGATCTCAGCCGGATGAAAACCACACGATTTGGCTAACTCAAGCAAATGTGCTACCTCTACGCAAGATGCGCTTGATGGTTGATTGAATTGATAATGCAGCAAGTAAAACACGTGTAGGAGTTTCACGTGCGAATTCTGTGATTAAAATTGTTTACAGAGAGAAGGATGTACTAGTACACGGTTGCAACCTTACTAATTGCACGGGTTGCTGAGGTTTTCATCAAAAATTCAATAGAAAAACAAAAAATATATTTAAAATTTTCAAAATTATTTTGTAATTTGTTATCAAACGTTTTTCCTTTTGAAAGTTTTTTGTAGTCAAGAAGAAGCTTAAAGAAGCTTCAAAAATAATATTCCAGGAGTAACTAAGTTTTCTGTATTATTAACCTGCTCGCTCGCTTTATTTGCTCGAAATTAGACGAAACATCAAAACATTTTAACAGATTCTTCTCTACACTGAGGAATATAACTCGACCCTTTCCGAAAATTATTTGTGGTATATGATTTTGCGTGAAAAACACACCCGAATACAGTAAATACAAAGTTTTTCCCAACTTTCAGTAGTCGGAATAATAATAATATTAAGTTATTACTTAACACAATCACGTCAGTCTTATCAAATATCAAGTTAATACGCAACGGTCAAAGCAGAATCCCAACAAAATAGATGCCCAATTGAAAAAAAAAACAAATAATAACAAGGATAGCCAGTTACTGTCCAAGTAGCACAGAGTGTTCCGACCACAGTCTTAGAAAAATACAAAAAAAAACTTTTTTTTTCAAATTGGTGTTTTTTTATGGTGCATTGCATGGTGTGACAAAAAGATCTGAGCGAAAAAATAGAAATTAGACATATTTGAGAGGCATAGAAATGCGCAAACAAACTCCAAAAACTACCTTTACAAGAGAAAAAGACTTCAATTAAGCTTAAATAAGCTATTGTAAGCCTACACGGTCACCTCATTAGCACCAAATAAGACCAAGAATCATAAATTTCAAACCGGTTTTTCTCGACACCGAAAAAAAAAACTTTTTAATGTCGTTCGAATCACGACTGAAAAGGCTTCAATATGATATATCATTCGACCCATTCGAATGATTATTTGTGGTACCTGATTGTGCGTGAAAAAAAAACAAATAAAAATAAAACAAGAAAAGCCGGAGACTGTGCAAATAGCCTAGAATGTTTCCGACCACAGTCTTAGAAAAATACAAAAAACCTTTTTTGTTATTTTAATCTGTTTACAAAATGGCGCTAAAAACTCCAAAAACTACTTTTAATTGAGTAAAACTAAGTTTTTGCGGCTTTAAGTAAGCTTTAATAATCTATTGTACGCCTAAACGCTCACACTATATGAGTTCGAAATTAGACCAAATCAAAAATTTCAAACCGGTTTTTCTCGACACTGAAAAAAATGAAATATTTATATGTCGTTCGAAACACAATTGAACGGGTTTTAATATGATATATCACTCGACCCAATTTGATAATTATTTGTGGTACCTGATTTTACGTGTAACACAAAAAGAAAAATTAAAACAGACCCGAATACAAAGTTCCTCCCCGTTTTTCAAATGGTCGGAACAAAAAAAAAGTAAATGACACCCGAATACTTTTAAAACTTCAGCCAGAAAAAAAACATTCTTGCATCTTGAGCTCCAATTACCTTCGTAGACAAAACAGTCAAGTCAAAATTGCAAAAAACCTTGAATGGATTTTCTTTAGGTAATCGAACCTAATGATGACGCCAAAATGCTTGCACACACTTTAAGAAAAAAAATCAGAGAACATGCACATAATTATCGTTTCAATTTATGTTTCAGAAATTAAAACAAAAAATTTTTCGATTGTACAAAAACAAAAAACAGTAATTACTGGTCTTCGAAATTGAATTGAGAAAGCATTTCGAAAACTATTTGGACATTAGTTAACATAATACTGCCGGCAAATACTAAAATTGATAAGCCTACAAAAAATATATTTACTTTAGACCACGTATCACTTCAGTAGCTCAAGAATCAGAACAACCAAAGAAAAGCGCTGTTAAAGGAGCAGCTTGGCTTAAGTTGATATCCTCTCAAATTGGAGATCCTCTGAACAAACCCGATTAGAAAACTAAGTTTTCATATTAAATCTGATGCGGAAAGAACTTAGGGAAAATATAAAACTCATGATTTGTGAAAGTGCAACCACATCAATACCAGCATTCCTAGCGTCTCCTACCAAAACTTGGGGCCTAAACTTCAATTATCAAATGTATGACAGTTAAGACAAACTCCACAGTATCAATGAGTCAATTAATACTGGATCATCTGGCCCTTCTTCTTTTTGTCTCCTCCAAGCTCGAAGTGCTTGCATCGCTTGATTGGTTTCTGCATATACTTCTTGCACTTCATGCACTGAAGCTTGAGAACAATCTTTTTTGTAGTTTTGGCCTTCTTCCTGAAAATAGGTTTCGTCTGACCACCGAATCCACGCTGCTTACGATCGTAACGACGCTTTCCTTGAGCCAGAATCGAGTCCTTTCCTTTCTTGTACTGGGTCACCTTGAAACTCTGGTGAACTTTGCATTGAGGGCAAAAAGTTTTCCTGGCCTTAGGGACGTTCACCATGATGATCTGAAAAAGTTAACTCGTCTACCAACAATAGCTTTAGGAATTGAAAAAAGTCCAATCGTTACAAAACAATACCCCAAATAAGTACCAGTCCTTTAACAAAAATCAGACACCAATTAAAAATAACAAGAGCTAAACGGTGCTCCAAAACATTTCTTATAAATAGAAATCCGGGTAGATTTTAAAAAAAACACAGGTGTTCACGCATGAAAAAAATGGTGAGTTTCACAAAGCCGCATTTCTGGATACCCGAGAAAACTTGAAACTTTCTAGCTAAATGTAACGTTCGCCCGAAAGTACATACGGATGGAAGGTAAAGCTAAATTCTAGAACGATTGGCTAACGTCAAAAAAGAGCCTTACGTGCAAATTAATTTAACTACACGTGAAATTAGTGAACTCATGAGCTCGACTTGACATCAAGGCAAATGGACTCTGAGGAGGCAGATTCAGCTGAACCATTATCGATGAAAGGCTTTTCAATCCCCATGCTAAATTCTGCCCTTCAAGCTATATCTGATGCCTAGGAGTTTTTAGGAGTGACCTCGTCGTCTGGAGATACTGAGACCCATCATCTTCAGTAGTGGTTGTATTGCTAGGAAAGCCTTGGCCTTCCAATGGTTGAAGTTTCGGCTCTAGTTCACCATCATGGCATACTTCGTTCAGGAGTGTCTTAAAGTATCACAAATTTCATTATGTCTGAGAGGTGTATCCAACTTTGAGACAGTTTAGAGAGTGATTCAGTAAGAACTGTTGCTAACATGGACATGTATGTGGAGTGTTTGGTGGTTCCTATCCATATCTCAAACTTTAAATTGTTGAGAGAAAACTTGTACTTTTTTAAGGCCAGTTCGATGCTCCTTTCTGTGATGCTAGATTTATTGTCAGATTTTTTTTGATGAGCAAAAGTCCATAATTTCAACCTTTTTTGAGAGGTTGATGTTCGGTCTCTCAGTTTTGATGTTTTTATTTACCCCACAATCTCGGTTTTCCAACGGATCACAAATGATTAGTGACCTCTCATAACTTCTGGAAAAGTCCGTGTTTCCGAGTAGGTCTAATCCTCCCTTTCTTAGTGGCAGTGCAAAAGGTTGCGATCTTCATCGGTTATATGGTTTTTACCAGTAAGATATATCAGAAAGTAGCTGACGTTTTACGTTTTTCCTTCAATGACTCACTTTAGTGGAAGTATTCCTTTTGTTCCTTCGTCTGAAAGGCAGCCATGGCAGCAGGTGTTTTGCTTGTACTCATTAGTATATCGAAATTTTTAACTTTCTCAATTTGGATGTCTAATTTGGACTTGCTTCCATAAAATTATGCGGCGGCTCAGAATTTTGGAATTGGATCCTTTTGTTTCTGATTTAGTTTTGAAGAGCAGCAGATGTGGGACAATCATTGCTGTTTTCATTGGGACGTTAAAATTTGGTTTTTCTTCTACCATTGACAGCAACTGCTGGTTCATTAGTTCAATGAATTGGAAACAGGGCTTGTTCTTGCTTAGAAATTTGAAGCGCGGTTCCCAGTAAACGACAATTTATATATGTCGTTTATTTTAAATTCAAGTTCTTGGTCGATAAATATCCAGGGGTCAAAGGATACTGTAGTGATTGCTGAGGGCGATGAGTTAGATTGAGTTGCATTGGGTTGTACGTTTTTTTTGAGTGTTGCCAAAGATGTTTCTTCTTGAGTTGTGATGAAATTTGCTGCTCTCGAGGCCGCTACATGAGACATGGCTTATAGAGTGGTAAAAAGTTTTTATAAGGCGAAACAAAGAATTATTTAGAGCACCAAGTTTTCCTTTTTGAAATGATTATTTGCTGAGAGGATGGGGATAAAAAGCACATTTAGCTTAAACTTATGACTTATCCGATTTAAATAAAATCTCCGATAATTTGGAAAACCTGAAACCGTAGATGATTTATCATTAAAACCGTGTACTATGGTAACACAGTTTAGTTTCTGCTTCGAGGGATAGCGCGAGACAGTAGTGGCAAAGTCGGCTAGCTGTGCACCTCTGTACGAGTGAATTGTGGCTTCGACATCCTTGGGCTGCAGTACTTAGTGTTTGAGATTTCTATTACCAGTTTCCTGCTCCACTTGGATAGCCATTTTGGCCTGTACTTCGGCACGGACATTCACTAAACAGGGTACAAAAGAGGCAAAACAAGAGGAAGAATAGATTATAAAGTAGATTGTAGAAAAATGGATTTGAAAAAACAAATAACAAAAAGAAAGTAAAGTGATTACAATCTGGTTTTTTTTACGGGTGGAAGTCCCGGCGTGGGTGTCAATTTAGAAGGGGAGTATTGCTGCATGACTCTAAAATGCCGTCCCGCGTACCAACCACACCAATTATTGTCATATCACACGAAACTATTCAATAAGCTTATCACAACAATTGGGCTAATTACTTTTATTTTTACTATTTTACTATTGTTTTTTGTACAGTCTACAAAATTACCCCTTCCATTAGAGAAGGATCGACTCTTTCCCTAACGTCGTGCTTCTCATATCCTTAAAATAAACGAGGATATTTTCAAATTAAATTCTGACCATCCCAGGAAGCACAATGATTTTCAAGCACAATTCAAGATTTTTTCGTTTTCTTCAACTTAACCGAAGAAGCGCTTTCTTCTTCATGAAGAAGGATAGAAATTTCTATTTTCAGGAGGGCTTCTTCTCTCCTCTAATTCCTTGGGGGTAGTCCGTGATTTCTTGTATTTTTAATGGAATATCTCGTTTTACTTTGACAACCAAAGTTTTTGTTATGACTTTCTCATGAGAATGAAATTAATTGCAGGAAAACAAAAAACTTTACGTGTCATGCACGTCCTAATCAAAATTTTAAAAAAAATGTTTTTGTAACTTCTAAATTACCCTTCCTATCTCACTTCTTTTTGTAGATAAGGTCCTGACTCTTCTTTTTTAACGTACCTAATGATCGTGTTCTCTGGAATAAATAACAGAAGTTTGCTGGTCGATTTGCATATTTTCCCCGGACAGCCTAATCAATGCCAATGTCCACATTGAATTTAAATTATCTCATCAAAATGACTCAGTGCCATGAGATAGAATTCTTTCAATCATCAATCACTCCGTAAATTAACTTTTATCTTCATCAAATCAAGTCACATTGAGCTTATATGGGAAGCTACCACATCGCAATAGCCTTTTAACACTTTTATTATTCTGCACTATATGAAGATATGACCTGAGACGAAATAAATTTTCCGACTTCCAATGTCATGTCTCAAATTAGAACTTTTTTCCTGTGTTAAAAAAGTGGGGATGCAGGATGCTCCTGGCAACCAACAAGCTAAAATTATCCTTCAATGTCTTGTCCCTAGTGGAACTTATAATTGTTTTCGTTCATCCTTAAAAACAAAATTGAGAAATTCTGTGGTTAGAAGAGCAATGAGTCTGTAACCCTTTGAGAGATTACTCAAATTGATTCAAGTCATCACAAAGCGAGCAGTTCTCTTAGTTGATTAAAAATAATCATGCAGGCTGGAATAGTTTGAATATACGTTCTGCTCAAGCCTTTATCTGTTGGTAACAAATGTTATTAAATATTCAAAAGAAACTCATTATTGAAGCAATTGTAAACTCAATTTATCAAGACACATTTTTTTTGCTTGCAATGGAGCAGGGGGTCCTGTTTATGCAGAAGCTTCTATGAAGGCAAAATTTTACATTTCTATCTAGATTTTCCCTAAGCATTTCTTCTTTTCCTCTTTCATCGCTGTCAATTGCCATCAATTTCTTTTGGCCGTCGTAGTCACTGCATTTCGATGGGTCACGAAAGCTCTCCTAAAAGCTTTATATCCAATTTCTAGTTAGAACGCGCTGTAAACTCTGTCATGTCGTACAACTAAGCAGTCATGTTGGCTCCGAGCGATGGCATTAATAGTTTTCTGGCCCAAAACTTTTTTTAATTTGACCGGAACATTCACGTTTTGCACATTTCCTCGAACAGATTTAAATCGTGCAGGCAGTTCGCATCTTCCAACTGTTTCTTATTTTGCGCTTTTTATCTATTGTTTTTTTCTTACATGAGCTTCCTGCCATTTAATCGCCATCATCATTTCGATTTTTTTTTCGTTACTAGTTGCGATGATTCTGGTGAGCAGCTATCTGGCGTCCCAGATCAGCACAAGAATACTACGCGCAAGATACTTTGAAGTTTGCAGTCAACAGTGGCATGGAAATTAATCTTGCGTCACAAAATGGTCCTGTAGTTACGAAGCCCTCACGCTTCTAGTAGCGGTTCCAATTCCATCATGATCCTGTTTCTTTCATCTTATGTTTTGTAAGCCGTGACTGCCGATCATTTTTGCTTTTGTCTCTCAAAGTTACTAAAAATTGCGCTAGCATATCCCATGAACTTCTTTCCTAGTATAGATTGCGATTGGTTCTGGGTCCTTTCCGGAATTTGAGCAAATATCTTACACAGCAACTTGACTTGTCTTTCTGAAATGCTTGCAGGTCTCACAAATTTTGGTACGGAGCAAGGTTGATCTACTGAAGTCCTCATGCTTTTCACATCCACTGCCACAAAGTGTATTGTCTATTGGTTCTTGCACAGGGGAGCCATTAGGTATCTGACAACAGATAGTCTGTGATACGCTTTGTTTTGCATGAGATTCATTTCCTTTTCAATCGCTTCGTACCATCTTCTAATGTGTTTTTGTTCGTTTTCAACACACTCGGAAACACTTCTACAGTGATGGCGATCACCACCTCATACCTTCGTTCGAGATTCAATAGTGACTGTAAAGAACAAAACATGCTGTAGAATCTTCACTTCTGTTTCTCCATGACAATCCGCTATTAGCTCCGTTTCCGTTTCCATCTTCATCGGGAGTTTTCTGAACATTTTTTTCCGGTTTCTGGTTACGTTCTTCGAATAGCTTTCTCCACATATCTCTACCTTCTAGAGTTTGGGTCAATTCCTTGCCCAATTTGTCCAGTTCGTTTCCTTTCTTCGTCCTGTCTTTCATGGTTTCGTTCGTCTGTTTTCCCCACCTCAATACAGCCTCCCCCAGGCATGTTCTCCCCAGGCAGCCATCATTATGACTTCATTGGGGCGGTCCCTACGGTTGTATCATCCTAAGATGTTCGTTAAGGCTGCCGTCAACTTCATTACCTCTTGGTCGTCCAGATTGAAGTCCAGTTCCATTAGTCGGCAATAGACCGCATCTATGACCAGTCCAATATAAGCCTCTGCAAGGTCAAAAATCTCACATCAAAAATGTCCCAATGATTTCAGTATAACGATTCAATTTTGCTGGTGTTCTTGTGTGAAATTTGATTTGAGATTTAAAATATCAATCAAGAACTAAAAATATGGTCATAATTCATCCATAATAGTTAGACCACATCGTTTTTTATCACCATTAGGAGGTTTGTAAAGAGCCAGGAGAATAAAATTTTTGTTCAAGAGCTATAAAAAAATTATCATTCAACCCAAGTTTTAGGAAAATTATCGGAGATTGGACAGTGCACATTTTGGATTTTTTCCTGCGGTCATTTGTAAAGACATTTTTGGTCACTAAGCTGTCCAAACATATAGTCCTTTGAAAAACACACACATACTGACATGAATATCCTCAAACCTGATAGATGTTTTACTAATTTCTTATGGTCTAAGCACTCAGGTTCCTTTCTCGTCTGTTAATCGCAACCTATAGTCAAGCATTATTTTTTTAAGTGGATACACTTCGATGTTGACACATGAAAAGATTACATGTACTAGCGCTTATTATGCTCGTGGAAACAATAGTCTTCTGTTGGTTTCATACATAGAAGTGAGAGCTTTTTTTAGTCCCCTCTCAACCTAGTCAGAGATCAAACCCAACACTACAAGTTGCTTCTTTGTGGCCCTTGTCAACAAGAAGCATAAATGCTTTACTGGTATTTGTGTAGCCTCTGTTGGCAAAGTTGCTACCCCCTAATCCTGGTTTTTGCGTTCATGAAAATTATATGTTCCTGTACTCTCTTCTGAAGTTGGCTGCTAAGGCTGTTTCAAAACTCATATCCTGGGTAATAGCTACTGCGCAGATCCTAACTGTCAGCATAAAATCACTACCAGTTAGTGAAATGCTGCCCGAGTACGCACTCGGTAAGATAAAATATGACTCTACTACTCTTCCTATGTCTGGTTTCTTAAGGTCCTCATCCGTTTCTGCCTCTAAATCAATTTTATCTGTCGAAACTTTTAACTTTTTGATTAACAGTATTTCAGTGTGAGTAAGTCATACCACCACTACACGAACAAGAATATCCATCGACATCCACGTCAATCTCATTTCTGATTTCAGTTTGAAGTTGGATTCAGGTATGAACAGTTGTCCTTTCTGGGCATCCCATGAAGAATCAGTTTTGTAGTTCTTGATGTAATTCATATGTTCGGCGTCTACATACTGATTTTTCACATTAGTTTTATTGGAATCTGTTACATTTCATTTAACCATTCCAAAACGCACAGCCTAATTAATTTTTGTTCAAGTGACAAGAAACATCGACTTCCACTTCTGATTTTGACCATTCTTCCAGCCACTCGTAGTCCTGATCCTCCACAATTTCGACTTCCCGTGGCGCAGTTGTTTTTTCTAGACTCAATAGTTATCTTCTTCAAATCTTCTTCAAATCTATCCTCTTCAAATCTATCCTATCTACCACGAAGTCATCCCCATACTTCTTCGCAGATCTTACTGCACTGTCGCATTTGCATGGTGAAGGGTAGATCCGGTTCCGTGTTCTTGTATACCTCATTCTGCTCAAGGTCATTCCAAGCTTCCTCAGCATTGGGTATGGTTTCCTCGATCATCTCATTGGCATCTGGGTCCGAAGGCAATTTCGTCCCTTCCTCCAAGACTTCATTCCCGTCATTATCTTCTCTGCTGCATTTCTCGCCGATTTCACAGGCGGAAATCATCATCAAAAAGTCGCTCTTCTCCATGTCTTCTGATATGCACCAATCTTTTCTGGATGGATTAGGAAGTTTAATATTTTCGAAGTGTGCAGCTCGGGGTGTGCTGAAACTGTGAAATATTCCGCCTGATGTACCTCCGTTGTCATGAACGGCGCCTTCCACTTCTTCATGAAACTCTTCGTATTATCAGTGGGATCACATTCTGAAAGACCCACGCATAATCTTCCACTGATTAAGTTTTGGCCCATACTACCCTCTTGTCGAACTTCTTCCTCTGCCTTCATCTATTGGGACTAGTATAACTGAACATTGACACCATTGTTCCGTTTTGTCTATACAATAAGCCGTTCGTCAGCGGATCGTATGCCATTGAACAGGCTTTTGTCACTTGAAAACCTCTCATCAGGTCTTTGTTCAGTTTGCCCACAACAGCAATCCCATTATCCGACTAGAACCTCATCGGACAACCCTGTTTGGAATCCAACAATTGATCCGATGACCGCAAGTCTTTTCAGCTGAGGCTTTTTTACAGGGAACAGCGTCAGCTTAATTTGTAAAGTGATCGATCATCACCAGGATCTGATTATAGCCACCCGTACTTATTTATGTATGACCGCCCTTACTTCTGCATGTAAAACTGTCTTAAGATCCGGTGTTTGTCTCCCTCCAGATCTCTTTTAACTGGGGCTCCATATTGAAAACACCTTTTCAAGCTGTTCGACTTATGATCATTTCTCTGCGCTCATAGTGAGTCATAGATTCGGTATCTTGCCTTCAAATATGTTTTCATGAACCTAAGGTGACAGTTCCGCTCAATTGGTTGGTGCTCGTCATCTTCCATCCTGATAGAGTAGATATTCGCCAATGGCCTTGTTTCCTGTGAAAGTCTTAGGGTTGATCATGGGAGCTTTCTTCTGCGCTAGCAAGCTCATAGAGGGTTTTGATAATGCAATCAATTTCAAATCATCTGCTGCGTTGTCCAAAGTCTTCGCAATCGAAGACAAATATCAGGCATCATCATGACTTTGATGTAACATCCCTCTTCCAATTTTTTGGATGCAGCCTCAATCAATGATTGGTCTTGCGTCCAAAAAACGAAAATAATCAATTGAAACTCCTGTCCTCCTCTTGCATGATGTCCTTATCAACACACTTTGGGGAACAGAGGAGACTAATTGGTAAATTACTGTCTTGAAATCCCTTTCATTCTCTCGATGCTGACGTTTTAACTTTCTGGCTTGTTCTGTAATTGACACAGGACCGCAGTTTTTAAGTATTTCATGTCAATTTGATGTTATAAAGGTGCAAAAGTATATTTTTCAAGCTTCTTTGGAAAACATTCTTTTTCAAGTAACAATAAGAAGAAAAGCAAGGATGCATTCAATTTTCTTTGCAAACATCTTTAAGAGACTACAATGGAATATCAGATGTCCTGATGTTTTTTTAATCAAGTTTGAGAAAGTTGTTTTTACATGCAAACGAATCTGAAAAAGAACTGAGTGTTGTCATTAAGATTTTCTGGATGAAAAACTGCAAGAGGACTAATTTTAATGCTTTTTATTCAATGAAACAACTATATAATTAGTTCTCCCTGTAAATCCACATCCAGAACATCTTATGAATAAAACTCAATCCCTATTCAAATTTGTTTGAATGAAAAACGAACTTCTCAAACTTGATGAAAATTCCATAAGGACTATCTGACTTTCCCATGCGGTCTCTTAAAGATGGTTGCAAAGAAAGTTACCCGCATTCTTTTTTATTTTCAAAGGTTAGTTGATAAACTATGTTTTCTAGAAAAGCTTTAAAAATACACTTTCACGCCAGCATAACCTGAAATAGACCTAAAATATAGAAAATTACAGCCGTATATCAGTTACAGGAGCACTTTAAATTAAGTTATTAGCATTTTTAAAACAAATAAATTATGTTGTTTGGTCTCGTTTTGTCTCAAATACTTTCATCGAACACTAAATGTGGCTTTCAACCAACCGTATTGTTTGTTGCCTGCTCCTAATTGCTCCTTATAACATCTTTTAAAGACAGTTTTATCTTATGACCATCTTCGTTTAAAATTAAAACTCAAACAAATGAATTTTCTCAAATTGACTTTCATAATAAGCGACCCTTGTCAAGAAGCGACTGCAAAAAAATGGGAATCTGACTTGATCTGATATCATCAATATTTCCAACAGGGCTTTCTGATGGGACTTCTGATTCCCTGCCATTACATCTTCACCTTAACAAGCAACTGAAACAGTTCAGATGACACAGTTTCTATTTTTTGAAGCTAAAAACATTAACTCTCTACAAAGAGCAAACAAAACAAAACAAAGCGAAAATGTATCAAACATTTACGAAGGTTTTCGCTCCAATTATATTTAGGAAAACATTGATAAAAATATTTAGTAGAAATTTAGTTAGAAAAGATGAACGAAAACACGTTTAACCTAGACACACATTTTAATGAACATTTTATCTTGAAGTAGTCTTAGACCAACTTCTGACAGTTCAAAATAAGGTCGAAATGATTTTGAGAAAAATGGCTCGTGGGAAAAGCGATACAGTCAATCAAAATACTTTATGAAAAAGAGTACTACAGATAAATGCCCCTGTTATTAGCCACCTACTAATAGCTGTTAACCACCTGATTGGAATTTCAGCCAACTTATCATCCTCGTGAAAAAACTCAGATGGGCGAATGAAACTTGCTGTGATTGTGTAAGACTTGATTCAACTTCTGGTCTCAAATTTTTATAAGTCTCATTTTTCAAGTTTCTTGGCTGAAAAAAAAACCTGTTTCTTTTTTAAATTAAACGCCAATTTTTATCAGTGTAAGAACAAAAATTAAAACTAAAACAATTGCAAAACGTGAACAAAAAAATGTTGTTCTTTGTTGAGCGTTTTAATAGAGAAAAAAAAGAAAAAAATTCTAGAAGTTGGTATCAATTTAAAACAAAGTACTCAAAGAAAAAATTTTTAAGATATCTTTACTTAGAAGAGTACAAAAATTATTCAAATTTTTTGTTTTTCTTATGTATGAAGAAAATCCAACAATGATAACTT